GATGTCATTCGCGTCCTGCTGACCCCATTACAGTGTATGATGCCCTGCTCTGTTATGGCCTGCCTCTTTAACGACGCTCTAGTACGTGGTGTTATATCAAGTTCTGTGCCGCAGGGGTATCAGTAGTGAAAACGTACGCGATGGCAAGCTGGTTACATTGTGTGTGTTTTGTCCCCTGTTCCTTACATTGTTATGCGTTATGTTACCTTCTGCGATTCGGAAATATTCAGCGATGTTTGGGTACATTCGTTGCCGTCGTGGTACCAATCGGGTCTGTGATCATATACCCCAGTATTCCCCGCTATGTCGTGGTACGCGTTGTTATTGTATGTTGTGCTCGGTGCTCCGTTCTGTCATCTTCTGTTCTGTCAGGACATGGCATTTCACTATTTCGCATGTCCTGCTAAGTGGTAGTATGGTGTGCTGGGGTCCGTCATGGTAAATTGTGTCATGTAGTGAAAGGCTGTATTGCGCTATGATGTGATGTGCCATTGTGTAAAATGTGATGGTCTGCTGTCGTACTCTATGTTCTGGTATGTTCTGCCATTGGTTGATATAATGTGTGCTGTGATGGCATGCTCTGTATGCTCCATAATATCATTGCATGCGTGTTTGGTATGGTGTGTCCTTTGTTATGTCCTGGTCTGGCATGATCCGAAATATGTTGCGTCACTTGATGGTGTCATGATATGGTCTGGTATGTTATGATGTAATGTGTTATGTCGCGTTTCGTCATGGTGTGATGTGTCATTTCATGTAATGCTACGTGATGCTATGCGTTGCTACGGTGAGATTTGTTCTGCCATCGTATATTATGTCGTACCATGTTCTTGCATGGCATGCTGTGATATGCGCTACTAGGTTATAGGGTTTGGCTGTATGCTCGGTTATGTATGATCAGTTATGACATAGCTTGAGGTGGTCTGGTGTCTTCTATGATGCTATGGTGTAACATCGTATACCGCGCTCAGCTGTTCTATACGGTGTCACCTGCGTTGCGTTTCTATATGACATGATATATGCTGCGCCATGATGTGGTATGATGTGGTGTGGTATGTCATGGTTTAATATGATATGTCATGCTATGTGTTGATATGATATGTTATGTTATGTCGTGTTCGGTACGCCTTTGATTATCAAATTATGCGTTGTTATGTTGTGTTGCGTTCTGGCATGACATGACATGTTATGTGAGGTTGTGACATGACATGTTTTGGTATGTACAGTTCTGCGATGTGTTCTTATATCATGTTTGCTTTGTCGTGTTATGCATTTCTATGTGCTGTGATGCTGTTCTATCGTATGTGCTGACGGTTATGGCATGGTGTGCTGAGTTGCGATACTTTATATCATTATATGGTCTGATATTGGGGGGTGAGGTCGCAGTGGAACGGAGACCCCCAATCAGGAAATCGTTTCGTTTCGTTCGTGTCGTGCGTGCGGGCGAAGCGCAGCTTCGTGGGCGCGCGAGAGGAATGAACCCGCCCGTGCTAGGGCGAAGTCAAGACAAATGATCTTCCCCCGTCCGTCCGTCCGGCGGTGGCTCGCGGTGTCCCGCGGTGTCCCGTGGTGTCCCGTGGTGTCCGCCGTTGCTAGGGCGAAGTCAAGACAAATGATTATCCCCCAACCGTCCGTCCGGCGGTGGCTCGCGATGTCCCGCGGTGTCCCGTGGTGTCCTGTGGTGTCCGCCGTTGCTAGGGCGAAGTCAAGGCAAATGATCCTCCCCCGTCCGTCCGTCCGGCGGTGGCTCGCGGTGTCCCGCGGTGTCCCGTGGTGTCCCGTGGTGTCCCGTGGTGTCCGCCGTTGCTAGGGCGAAGTCAAGACAAATGATTCTCCCCCGACCGTCCGTCCGGTGGTGGCTCGCGATGTCCCGCGGTGTCCCGTGGTGTCCCGTGGTGTCCCGTGGTGTCCGCCGTTGCTAAGGCGAAGTCAAGACAAATGATTCTCCCCCGTGGCTCGCGGTGTCCCGAGGTGTGTCCCGTGGTGGCCCGTGGTGGCCCGTGGTGGCCCGTGGTGTTCCCTCGAGTGAGATCAAGAGTGAGATCGATACTGAGATCGATACTGAGGTCGATGTAGTGCCCCGAGGTGTCCCTTGGTGTCCCGTGGTGTCCCAAAAAGTGAGATCGATAGTGAGATCGATAGTGAGATCGACAGGTGTTCCGTGGTGTCCTGTTGAGTGAGATCGATACTGAGATCGATTTGGTGCTCCGAGGTGTCCCGTGGTGACCCGTAGTGTCCCCAAAAAGTGAGATCGATAGTGAGATCGACAGGTGTCCCGTGGTGTCCCTTGGAATCCCCTGGTGTGCCGTTGAGTTAGGTCCATAGTGAGATCCATAGTGAGATCCATAGTAAGATCGATGTGGTGTCCCTCGGTGTCCCGTGGTGTCCCGTTGAGTGAGATCGATTGTGAGATCGATAGTGAGACCGATAGTGAGATTGAGAGGAGTCCCGCGGTGTCGCGTAGTGTCCCGTGGTGGCCCGTGGTGTCCCGTGGTTCCTGTTGAGTGAGATCGATAGTGAGATCGACAAGTGACCCGCGGTGTCCCGTGCTGTCCTGTGGTGTCCCGTCGAGTGAGATCGATAGTGAGATCGATTGAGTCAGATGTTGGTTTCTCCCCTCTCCCCTCCACAACCTCCTTATCACCCGAAGGTTGGTCGTATACGTATGTTATGATCGGATATATTGTGTCAGGTGGTGTGGTGTTTTGCTATGTTCTGTCATAGCTTATAGTATGGTGCTATACGCTATGTTCTGATACTTAAATCATCCCGCTCTGTGGTGTTCTGATGTGTCGGCGCGAGGTGGGACACTCGGGGACACTCGGGGAATCTGGGGATCTGGCGGCCGCCGTCTACAGAGTGGCGCGAGGCGGGACTCTCGGGGACACTGGGGACATTTGGGGATCTGGCGGCCGCCGTATGCAGGGTGGACGGTTCGGGAGGTCTGTTCTAAAATCCGAACGACCTCAATCTGTCGAGTGGGGAGAATCTAACAACCCAATATTTTTGGGTGAGGGGCAATTCATGTCCTAGGCACGGGGAGGTCTGGGGAGGAGCAGGGTGAAGCAAGGGTGGCAAAGGGACAAGTGCTTCCGAGCAGTTGTTCTGCTTTCTCCAAACGATGGGCCTTCGCAGCCCTCCAGTCAAAGAACAGCTAATCACAGGCGATTTGTCTCCTTTAATTTCCGAGTCCCGCCCAGAAAGTCTGACCGTTCAGAAACGCGGGGGGGAATTCTGGGACACACCCCGAGGGGGCTATTCGGGCGCACCCCTATCGAGGATGCACGCCCCCCATCGTAGATCCTGGGGTCGGGTCCCAAATGTCTGGCCCATGCGAAAGCCCCACGACGTTTGGGACAGGGGTCGACAGATCTCCTGGTGGAACGGCATAGGCATTCGCTTCCGCAGGTACGCCAGCATCTCCTTCCACGGCCCCCGGGGCCCCCCTGGTGCGGGCGCCTGCCGCGCCGCCCCTGCCGCACGCCAGCGGAGGAGGGGTCCAGCGCCGACCCACGGAAATCATCGTGGACGTCCGGAAGCATATGCAATTTTCGTTCGGTCGTTGTCCTTCCGCCGTGTGTCTTCTGTGGCCCTCGCCCCGTTCGTCTCTCGGGCCCCCGTGTGGTCCCCGCTCTTCTGTGTGCCGAGCGTTCGGGGGTACCCACGTCCAAGACAAACGCCCGAAGACGAATGTGTCTGCAGTTTGTTTTCGTGGTACCTGTGCAGCGGCACGGCGCTCGGGGCGCGGCGGGACGCAGCGATGCGCCGAGGAGCCCCGGCAGCGGTGGAGAGAATTCCCTGTCCGTGCCGATTCTGTCATGCTGAATCCCGTCTCATGTAACGCACAGCGCACGCGTTTGTTAAGACATTTGGTTTTCAGGATATTTGGTGACGCATTATTCTGCCAGTGTTGGATTTTACGTGATGCCCAGAATTAGAAGGTGCTCTTGGGTCCGCCTCAGAAGATAGCATTTCAAAGGGGGAGTGTTAGCAGACAAATTTCTCGTTTGCTGCGTCTATTGCAGCGAAGCGGCATGGCCACTGTTCTTCCGAGCGCATTGATAAAACACCATGCCTGGCGAGGGCAATCCTGGGCCCCAGGGTGCTGCATAGACCCTCCTACTGGCCTTGGTCAGGAGGGAGTCTGCACCCTGCTGGGGCCCAGAATGGCCCAGGCCATGGGCGGTGGTTGTGACCAGATGCCCTCTGCGCGCCCACCGATCGCTGCAAGTTGGTATTTCGGGTTCCTCCAGTTCCAATCTACTCCAGTAGGGGGCCACGTGCGAACCCTACCCCTACCCCCCACGATTTCTGAGGGGGAGGGTGGGGTTCGCTTCGCTCGGGAGCTCCCGAATGCAGTGAACCCCACCCTCCCCCTCAGAAATCGTGGGGGGTAGGGGTAGGGTTCGCATGTGGCCCCCTATCCTGGGCGCCTTGTACTTCGAGGGCCGAGTGTTTTTGACCTCTTTCTTCGTCTCCAGGGGGCGGGCGGAGATCTAATCCACTTCCAAGGCCTTCCTACTTCGTGTTTCGACCCACTTCTTCCGTCCGATGGGTCTGGTCCTCGGTGGGTCCCTCTGTGGGTCCCGTAAACAGCAGGGCAGTTTCCGGACAAATGTACATCGAGCCGAACCGAAACAGAAAGTATTCTGGTCCAGGAAGGAGGCACCGCTCCAGGTCTGGAGCCATAGCTGGAAATCGAACACCAAGTGTGACGGAGTTGGAAAGACAACGACGCCAGGGCCGGCAAGCCGATTGCAGGGTGGAACCAGCACACAAAAACGGCCGTGTGGTGTCCAGGGCCCACTCAGGTGCAGCTTCTCGACTACACGTAAGAGTGACCCTTCGCTGGAGTGACCTTGAGCGCCGGCCCATTGCGATGCGGCAGTAGCGTCTTGCGCGCTTGCGTTTGGCACCCCCGCGGCCCACAAAAGCCGCGCACCAAAGTTCACTCTTACCTAGGGTCACTCTTGCGTGTAGCCGAGCCTCGCCCTCGCAAGGAGGGGCCAGTGAAGCCGACCAGCGTCGTGCTGGCGCCCACCCGCGAGCTCTGCCAGCAGATCGCCGTCGAGGCGAGGAGGCTCACCTTCCGCACCAGCGCCCGGGCCTCCAGCGGGAAGCGCGCCGGCCACGTCTGGCTCAGCGGCCGTTCTCTCACACACGGACACATTTAATCGCCGAGTCCCCGAAAAATGCGGGAAATTATGGGAAGTGGGGGGGGGAACCGAAAAATATTGAGAAATGTTGGGGATCTTAGGATTTGTGTCCGTTTATTGAATCGCTTCGCTCATTCCGCCGGCCCGTATTGTGCCATCGTTGGCGTTTCGTTGCGCGTTTGTGGCTCATGCGGCGCAGCGGGGCGGTGGTCGATTTCAGGAGGCTGTGCGGCAGAAGGCGTGGGGGTGAAGCAGTTGCTTTGGAGATTGTCGTGGGGGTTCTGGCCCTTAATGTCCACCGTCGTCGCCAGTGTTGTGTTGCGGTGAGACGGCTGTTTTTCCGTGGAGGTGGTGCGTGTGCGTCGACGGGCGTTGCGCAGGTTGTCGAGGGGTTTGTTTCGGGGCTTGTTTGGGGTGTTTGTTGGGGTCTCGTGGAGGCAGTTTGGAAGCCTTTTGATGCTTCTTGGGGGCCGTTTGCGTGTGTCCTGGGGGCCTCTTCTTGGCTCTCTTGGGGGCTTATTTGGCCTCTTGGGGGCTTTTTCGGGGCTTGCTGGCGGTCTCGGAGGTGGCCCTTGGGGCGGGAAGATTGAAAATGCCATTTCGGGTTCCCCCTCTTGGGCCCCTCTTGGGGCTGTCTTGGGCCGTGTTGGGCGCCTCTTGTGCCGTCTTGGTGCCCTTTTGGGCCGTCTGGGGGCTTTCTTGGGCTCTCTTGGGCCCATCTTGGGGGCGCGTTGGGCCGTCTGGGGACGATGTTGGAGGCTTCTGGGGCAGTTCTGGACGCTATGAACTTCCAAACGTCGCGCACGCGGAAAATATACGTTTTCCGAAAGGGAATGGGGCGATGTTTGTTTGAGAGCCTCTTGAAGCTCTCTTTGGGTTTTTTAGCGGCATTTGGGGCCATCTGGAGACCATCTTGAGCGTTTTGGAAAGATCATTCGGCGACTCGGGGCCTCTTGGGCCGTGTGGGGGGGCGTCCTGGTGCCTTGTTGGCGCGCTCCTGGAGCGCTCTGGGGGAGTCGCCCCGGCATCTCCCGGGCATCGGCCGGGGTCTTTGCGTCCAGGGGTCCCTCGGGGCCGCCACGCGCGCGCGAACTCGAAATAGTGTTAACCTGTTACGAGAGATCTTGGCACGCCTCTGGCCCGTTGGGCCGGCGAATTTGTGCCTGGGCTCTTTCACTCTTGCACGTCTCCCCCGGCAAGGTTCATATCCATGTCCACTACGTCCTGAACGTTCTGAGAGGGGGCGCCAAAAAGCCGAGTCGCAGTGGGTGTGGATAAAATAGTCTGGCCTCTTGGGGGCCAGAGCTTCATCCATGTCCGCTGCGGCTCTGGTTACTGGGGAAGGGAGCTCGAAACTTTCGGACGCAGTGGATAATGTATTCACAACATGAAGGTGCTCGAGGATGTCCAGTGCATCGAGGAACACATTAATACATATGACTGTTAGCCAGCGTGGATCCCAAACAGGAAGTTATGGCACTGTAGAAGTGTCGCATGTGTGGTGAAAGCTACATGCTGTATCAGCTATGGAGTGCAGTATTCGTGGTGCATTCTAGAGGTGGCAACGAATCGTCAATTGGCGGGAACGTGGCGAAACCTTGCCGAACCCACCCAGCGCACGAGGCGGCAACGCGGCGGCAACGGATCAATACATGTCCCAACCATCCTGTGGTGTTGGGTCTTCGTCTTGAAGACACAGCTCCCCGCGTTTTCCTCCTTCCTTCCTCCACTCCTTCCTCCTCCCATCCCTGCCCCTGTCTCCCCCGCCCAGTACATCGCGTCGTGGCCCATTAGGGAGCTCCGCCGAAGGCCGCAATGGCTGCGTTCGCATGCGGTTCCACTCCCCACTCCCATGTCGGCACGCCCCTCACACATTTATCGTAACCCCATAGGAAGCTCCACCGAAGGCTCCAGTGGCTGCGTTCGCACGCGGCTCCACCCCCCCACTTCGGTACACCCCTCACACGTCTCGTGGCCCCATAGGGAGTTCCACCGAAGGCCCCAGTTGCTGCGTTCGCATGCGGTTCCACTCCCATCTCGGCACACCCCTCACACTTTTTCGTGGCCCCATAGAGAGCTCCACCGAAAGCTCCAGTGGCTGCGTTCGCATGCGGTTCCACCCCCCATTTTCGGCACACCCCTCACACGTTTCGTGGCTCCATAGGAAGCTCCGCCGAAGGCTCCAGTGGCTGCGTTCGCATGCGGTTCCACCCCCATTTCGGCACACCCCTCGCACGCGTCGTGGCCCCATAGGGAGCTCCACCGAAGGCCCCGGTGGCTGCGTTCGCATGCTGTTCCACCCCCATGTCGGCATACCCCTCACACGTTTCGTGGCCCCATATGGAGTTCCACCGAAGGCTCCAGTGGCTGCGTTCGCACGCGGCTCCACCCCCATGTCGACACACGTGACCCCGTAGGGAGCTCCACCGACGGCCCGAGCGGCTGCGGTCGCATGCGGTTCCACCCCCATGTCGGCACACCGCTCACACGTTTAGTGGCCTTATAGGGAGCTCCGCCGAAGGCCCGAGTGGCTGGTTCGCATGCGGTTTCACCCTCATGTCGGCACGCTTCTCACAAGTTTCGTGGCCCCATAGGGAGCTCCACCGAAGGCTCCAGTGGCTGCGTTCGCATGCGGTTCCACCCCCATGTCGGCACATCCATCACACGCTTCGTGGCCCTATGGGGAGCTCCGCCAAATGGCCGAGTGGCTGCGTTCGCATGCGTTTCATCCCCATGTCGGCACACCCCTCACACGTTTCGTTGCCACATGGGGAGCTCCGCCGAAGGCCCCAGTGGCTGCGTTCGCATGCGGTTCCACCCCCATGTCGGCACACCCCTGACACGTTTCGTGGCCCCATAGGGAGTTCCATCGGAGGCCCCAGCGGCTGCGTTCGCATACGCTTCCGCCCTATTTCGGCGCACCTCTCATTTTGTGTGGCCCCAAAAGCTCCGCCGATGGCCCGAGTGGCTGCGTTCGCATGCCGGTTTCGCCCCCAGTTCGGCACATCCCTCGCACGTTACGTGGCCCCATAGGGAGCTCCACCGAAGGCCCCAGCGGCTGCGTTCGCATGCGGCTAGGGATCTCCACCGAAGGAAATAGTCACAACTGCGGTATTCACAACTGCATCGGGTTGGGTCCTTCGCCAGGGTAATTTTTTGGAGTTTCGCGTTGATTTCTCGGTCTGGCGTTGGGCGCCCTTGGCGGCGCCGTTCCCAACACGTTCCGAGCTAGGGAGGGGGGTCCGGTCCAGCGCCGATCCGAGAAATTCACGCGGACCTCAGAACGTTTATGTTTACGTCATCTAGTTGTTCCTTCTAGTCATAGGCTTCAGGCCTCCCTCCCAGATGGGGTCCGAATAGATGGAGTCATCGCCGATGCATCGGCGATGCGGCTCGAAGTGGAGGAGCCGGGTTTTCTCCTCCCCGACGGCACCGATGCATCGCCGATGTATCGCCCGCGTGTATCGCCAGTGCATCGGCGATACGTCGGCGATGCATCGGCGGTGCGGCGTGGAATGAGGATTCCCCGCTGCAGATACCCAGCGGAGGGCCAGAGCACGCCCAGAGCCCGCTTACGGCGGTAGCGAGGGACAATGCGAGCAGTAGGCATGTCGGAGACGGTCAGGGCGATTGTTGAAAAGACCACCATGGTGCAGTGGGTGGTTATGGTGTAATTTGCGCCTTGGGTATAGGCGAATTAGACATGCGTTGGTGGTGGTGACGATGATGGTGATGACGACGCTGATGGTGATGATGGTGATGTTGGGTGGTATGCTATGCAGATGGTAGAACGAGGGCAAGTGCGGTCGATGGAGGGCCCCGAGACTCTGGTGCTTGGTGGGGCGTGTGCAACGCGGCCCCAGCATGTCGCGAGGGCGCCTCAGGACGCCCCAAGATGGATCCAAGACAGGCTCCTTGAGAGCGCAGGGAGGCCCCGAGGGCCGTGCCCAGAGTCCCGAGCTGCGGGCGCTGGTGCGCTGGTGCGAGTGCGAGGGCGGTGGCCCGCGGGACGGCCGCGGGGCCGGCGGCGGTCTGCGGGCGCCCGCACCCGCGCGTGGTCCGAGATGCGCTGCCCCCCTGCCGGCGTTCGCGGGCGAGGTTGCAGCAGCGGCAGCGGGCCTTCGCGCCCTCCCGCGCGCGACCCAAGGGCAGCCCGGTTGTGGCGGCGGTGGCGTGCGCCCGCGCCCGCCCGCGCGCTGCACCAGATGCGGTCCCCCCCCTCTTTGGCGGCGTTGGCGGGCCTCGTCGCTGCGGCGAGTGCGGGTGCCCGCGCCCGCGCGCGGCCCAAGAGGGTTGCTCCTTGGTTGCGTGCGCGATCCGTGCGGGAACGGCTCGGCACGAAGAGCCAACCCTGGGGAATGGGTCGAGATCTCCCAGGGCCCACGTTGTGACACAAGCACGGCGCCCCGCGCAGGCAGGCCCAGTTCCACAGGAGCGGCCTGGCAGCGGCCCAAAAGGTCGACAGCAAGAGGGATCGGTATCCTCCGCGGCAGGGCCTCGAGCTGGTCCCCATGGTCTTCGAGGCCGGGGGGCGGCCCTCCGAGGAGGCGGCGGCCTTCGTGCGCAGCTACGGCGCCGACCTCGGGGAAGACGAGCGGGGGGAACTCCTCGGCCGCTTGTGGCGGGATATCTCGGTGACCCTTCACACGGGGAACGCCGAGATGGTGCTGAGCGCCCTCGGGCAGTAGTCCGCCACGGCCGCCACCAAAGCGACCAACGCCAGAACGGCTAGCTGCTAACCACCACGAAGACCACGACCACCAGCACGTCCACCACCTGCCCGACCAGCAGGCCCTCCGGCTCCACCAGCAGACCAGCCACCGGCACGGCCACCAGCGACCACTGCCAGCAGACCACCTCCAGCCCCCCCAGCAGACTGGCCACCAGCAGACCCACCGCCCAGCACGACCATCACCTGCACGGCCGCCCGGCAGCGCGACCGCCGCCAGCACGGCCACCACTACGACCGCCCAGCACGACCCCCACGACCATCACCGCCTCCCGTCCCCCGTCCCCCTCCCGCCCCCGCCCTTCCCCTGCCCTCTCCTGCCTCCCCTTCCCCGCCGGGCCGCCCCTGCGGCAGCCAGTTCCCCTTCCTTCCCCTCCTCCTCCTCCTCCTCCTCCTCCTCCTCATCATCATCCTCATCCTCATCCTCATCCTCATCCTCATCCTCATCCTCCCCCTCCTCCTCCTCCTCCTTCTCCTCCTCCTCCTCATCCTCATCCTCATCCTCATCCTCATCCTCATCCTCATCCTCATCCTCCCCCTCCTGCTCTAGTGTCGTGTCGGCTTGGTAGTCCCCGCCCTAGGTGTAATTCATGCTGGTTCATTCAAAGCCCCCCACTGTGCCCCCACGGGTCCCCTTGGCGAAGTGGGAGGGGGGCCAACTCTGGCGCCCGTGGGTCTTTCCGCCGGGAGGGAGGAGGGAGGAGGGAGCAGGGAACAGGGAGCCGGGAGCAGGGAGCAGGGAACAGGGGGCAGGGAGCACGGAGCACGGAGCACGGAGCACGGAGCACGGAGCACGGAGCACGGAACACGGAGCACGGAGGAGGAGGAGCAGGAGGAGGAGGAGGAGCAGGAAGAGGAGGCGGAGGAGGAGGAGGAGGGAGGGAGGGGGAGGAGGGAGGAGGGAGGAGGGAGGAGGGAGGAGGAGGGAGGAGGGAGGGAGGAGGGAGAGGGAGGAGGAGGAGGGAGGAGGGAGGAGGAGGAGCGAAAGAGCGAAGAGGGAGGAGGAGGAGGAGGAGGAGGAGGAGGAGGAGGGAGGAGGAGGGGAGGAGGGAGGAGGAGGAGGAGGAGGAGGAGGAGGAGGAGGAGGCGAGGAGGAGGAGGAGGAGGGGGGGAGCAGGAGGAGGAGGAGGAGGAGGAGGAGGAGGAGGAGGAGGAGGGAGGAGGAGGGGGGGGGGGGGGGGAGGGGGAGGGGGGGAGGAGGAGGAGGGAGGAGGGAGGGAGGAGGGAGGAGGAGGGAGGGGGAGGAGGAGGAGGAGGAGGAGGAGGAGGAGGAGGAGGAGGAGGAGGAGGAGGAGGTCTGTAGTTGGCGGGCGCGCCCGCGGTCGGGAGCCAGGGGCCCGCGTGGTCGCCATCTACGGCGGGGCGCCCGCGCCGCCGCAGCTGCAGCTGCTGGCGGAGGGCGCGGAGATCGTGATCTGCACGCCAGGCCCGTCGACCCCCATCGTCGGCGGCGAGCCTGGGGGGAAGTGAGACGGGGCGGGCCTTCTCAGAAGGCTCGGAAGTTCTCGGGCCTTCTGCAAGGTTTGCTAAGCCTTTCCCAGAGACGTAGAACATTGCTCAGAGGGCCAGCGGGCTCCTGAGAAACCGTACCGCCTTCTGAGAAACCCTTTTCCTTCTCACTTCCCCCCTCGATCGCCGCCGAAATAGGGGCCCAGCCCCCCACCCCTTCCAGGAAAATGTCGTTTCGCCAGCACGGGTTTATCACCGTTCTATTGGCGATGTGTCGCCAGTTCGGGGTCCATGCCCTCCCCCCGAGCCAGTCCACGCCTACATGGGGGCCAAGCGAGAGGGTGGAGGGGGGGAGGGGGCAAGTCAAATCTTCAAAGGCGTTAGACAGTTGCCGCAGTTGTGAGTCAGGCGTGGCCTCAGAATCGGCTGTTACACGGCGGAGGCCTCACTTGGAAGCCTCGCCTGCAGGCTTCCCGCAGGCGTTGCGCGGGCATCGGGGGGGGGGACCGATCCCTCCGGGCGTCCCTTTGGGAAGCATTTTGTAGCTGGGGGGGGCCCTGGCTAAAGGCGGGGGAGCTTTGAAGCTACACCCCCTTAATCCCTTTTGCGGGGCCAGAGGTAAGCCCGGGCTCCCCTTCACAAAGGGGGGGGGCTTCCGAAGCTACCCCCCACCCCTTTCCTTTGCAGCCGGGGTCACGCGGGGGCTCGCTATCGGGGTCGCGCGCGCTCGGCGCGACGCGCTTTGTAGGCGCGGGCCAGTGGGCAGGCATTCGCACATTGAGGTTTCAGGAGGGGAATGGGGGGAGGGGGGGTTGGTTTCCAGCTGGGGGGGTCCAAAGGGGGGAGGGGGGTAGCTAAGCCCTGATTGCTTTTACAGTTTTTTTTTTATCGTTTTTTCGGCCCTTGGACCGTGGTCGCGTTTTCTCTGACCCTGGTTCGTTTTCGCGTTTTCTGTGCCTTTGGGTCGTGGTCTCGTTCGTTTGCTCGGACTTCGGTTTGTCTTCTCGTTTTCTCGTGTTCTCGGCCCCTGGGGCGTGGTCTCGTTTTCTCGGAACCTGGTTCGTTGTGTTGTTTTCTCGCTTTCTCGGTTTTTGTTTTGTGTGTTGTTTTTTTTGTTCGGCCCCTGGTTCGTGATCTCGTTTTCTTGTTTTCTCGGCCCCTGGGTCGTGGTACCATTTCTCCTCGGGCCCTTGGTAGTTCTCTCGTTTGCTCGTCTTCTCGCCCCCTGGGTCGTGGTTTCGTTTTTTTTCTGACCCTGGTTCGTTGTTTGTTTTCTCGGCCCCTGGATCGTGGTCCCGTTTTCTCGGACCTTGGTTCGGTTTCTCGTGGTATTCGTTTCTCGGCCCCTGGATTGTGGTTTTGTTTTCTCTGACCCTGGTTCGTATTCTCGCTTTCTCGGTTTCTCGGCCCCTGGGTCGCGGTCTCGTTTTCTCTGGCCCTGGTTCGTTTTCTCGTTTTCTTGTTGTCTCGGCCCTTAGGTCGTGGTCTCGGTTTCTCGGGTCATTGTTTTCGTTTTCTCGTTTTCCTGGACCCTAGGTTTTTGTCTCGTTTTCTCGGCCCCTGGTTCGTTGTCTTGTTTTCTCGTTTTCTCGGCCCCTGGGGCGTGGTCTCTTTTCCTCGGAACCTGATTCGTTGTATTGTTTTCTCACGTTCTCGGCCCCTGGGTCGTGGTCTTGTTTTCTCGGACCCTGGTTCGGTGTCTCGTTTGTTTGTTTTCTCGTCTCCTGGGTCGTGGTCCAGCTTTCTTGGACCCTGGTTTGTTTTCTCGTTTTCGCATTCTCTCTGCCCCGTGGTCGTGGTCTCGTTTTCTTGGACCTCGTTTCGTTTTCTCGTTTCTTGTTTTCTCGGCTCCTGGTCGTGGTCTCGTTTTCTAGGGCCATGGTTCGTTTTCTCGTTTTCTCTGCCCCTGGGTCGTGGTTTGGTTTTCTCGGCCCCTGGTTCGTTGTCTTGTTTTCACGTGTTCTCTGCCCCTGGATTGCGGTTTCGTTTTTTTTTTTGTTTATACTGACCCTGGTTCGTTTTCTTGTTTTCTCTACCCCTGGGTCGTGTTCTCGTTTTCTCTGGCCCTGGTTCGTGTTTTCGTTTCTTGTTTTCTCTGCGCCTGGGTCGTGGTCCAGTTTTATCGGACCCTGATTAGTTTTCTCGTTGTCTTGTTTTCTCGTCCCTTGGGTCGTGGTTTCGTTTACTCGGACGCTGGTTTGTTTTCTCGTTGCCTCGTTTTCTCGGCCCCTGGTTCGTAGTCTCGTTTTCTCTGGCCCTGATTCCGTTTGTCGTTTTCTCGTTTTCTCGGCCCTTGGGTCGTGGTCTTGTTTTCTAGGAAAGATATTCGCGTTTTCTCGGCCTGGGTCGTGGTCTCGTTTGCTCGGGCCTTTGTTTGTTGTGTCGTTTTCTCGTGTTCTCGGCCCTGGGGTCGTTACCGTGTTTCCTCGGACCCTGGTTCATTGTCTCGTTTTCTCGTTTTCTTGGCTTCTGGGTGTTTGTTTCGTTTTATTTCGGGCCCTGGTTCGTTTTTTCGTATTTATCGTTTTCTCGGCCCTTGGGTTGTGTTCTCGCTTTCTCGGGCCCTGGTTCGTTTTCTCGTTGTCTCGTTTTCTCGGCCCCTGGGTCGCGGTTTCGTTTTCTCGGGCATTGGTTTGTTTTCTCGTTGTCTCGTTTTGTCGGCCCCTGGGTCGTGGTCTCGTTTTATCGGACCCTGGTTCATTTTCGTGTTTTCTCGGCCCCTGGATCGTGGTTTCGTTTTCTCTGACCTTGGACCGTTTTTGGGGACCCTGGTTCGTTTTCTCGTTTTCTCGGCCCTTGGGCCGTGGTCTCGTTTTCTGGGACCCTGCTTCGTTTCCTCATTTTCTCAGCCCCTGGGTCGTGGTCTCGTTTTCTCTGACCCTGGGTCGTCGTCGTCGTCGGTCGCGCGTCGTCCGTCGTCCGTAGTATGTCGCCGTCTTCGCATGACCTCGTCAACGTTGTGACGACCACGACGACGTCATGCGAAGACGGCGACAATGACGGCGGCGGCGGCGACAACGACGACGAGGACGACGACGACGTCGTACGAAGACGTCGAGCGACGGCGACGGCAACGACGACGGCGACGGGGGAGGATCGCCCGGCAGGGCGAGTTCAAGGGAGTAGCTTCCAGCAGGGGGGTGCAAAGGAGGGGGGGGTGTAGCTAAGCCCCCCCCTCCTTTGGAAAGGGGGGGAGGGGGGGGGGGAGCTTCCGGAGCGACAAAAGGGAAAAAGGACAAAAATTGGTTCCAGGAGGGGGGCAAAAAAGGGAAGGAGGGAGGAGGGTAGCTTCCAGCAGGCGGGGTCCAAGGGGGGGGGGTAGCTGAAGAGGGACTCCCCCCCTTTGGAAAGGGGGAAGGGGGGGGGTAGCTTCCGGAGCGGCAAAGGGGGGGGAGGGGGGGGATCGCTTTGGGGGGGGGGGACCAAAAAGGGGGGGAGGGGTGGGGTAGCTTCCAGCACGGGGGAGGGGCAAGGGGGGGGGGGTAGGGCCCCCCCCTCCCTTTGCGAGTTCCGCGCGCGCGCGCTCTCTCCAAGGTGCCCTATGCCGATGTACTTCTCTCGTTTTCCCGTTTTTGGGGCCTTCTGGTCGGCTTTCGTCGCCACCGCTGGATTCGCTTAGATTTTTTTGGTCAGAACGCAATTCCGGGAGAGGTCCAGGGAGTGGCGGTATCGGTACCGATTTGTTTCCCTGATTGTTGATCGGGGGCAATTTCTTGGGCTGTAGCGTCGCATTTCTTTCACGACAGGCGATGTTCGGGCCCCAGGATACTCACGGATCGATCCGGCTCGCACCATGGCGCGGAAAGATGGGGTTCAGGCGTCTGGTCGAGTTCTTGTAATGATGTTTCTTTGTGTTCGTGACGTAGGATCTCAGGATGGGAGGGCGGCCAAACGGGGGGTGATTAGTGGGGGGGTATCATAGCGGGGGCACGATATCATCCCGGATTTCATGGTTTCGTCTTCTTATTCCAATGCATCATTTGGTCACTCCTCATCCGCGCACATGCCAATGGCTATGATTTGCGACCCCCCCTTTTGGACGTCATCATTTTGGACGCCCCTGAGTTTACTCGCATGAAGGCTTGGCGAGGCCCGAACCGAAATATGAACTTCACGCAAGTCTGGACTCAACTTGCACGCCTTTTCGGTCCAGCGCTGTTCGAAAAGGCGGCGGAGGAGCGGAGGGATGGGGGGGATAAGTAGATTTGTTTGGGTGAGAGAAAGCTGCCTCCTGCACGTCAGAGTGGCCCTTCGCTGCGGAGGCTTTTGGTTTGCGGCTACGGCAGGCTCGCGTCGTGTCTACGCGGTGGCGTTCCCAGCGCCGGTGTGCAAGGTTGAACGCCGCCAGTGGCCCAGAATCGGCCGTTGTCGAAGGATATGCGCTATCGGAGCGCCGCGATTGTTCAAGGTTGAGAGATCCGCGCAGTGTCAGGTGTCAGGAGCCAGCGCGCAGGTCGTCGCTGCGGGAACCAGCCTTAGACGTGTTCGGTCGTGTTCGTGGGTTGCTCTAGATTTTCCTGCCTCGGGATGCTTTCCAGCAGCTGCGCCTCGCCGATCGCGTGCTCAGGACGGCCCCACATGGTCCCGAACGGCCGCCAGGAATTCGAGCTGTGGCTCGAAATTGGGGCTGGCGGCGCGCACGAGGGGGGGTCGCAACCGGGGCGGCCTTTTAACAGGGCGAGGCGGCGTCTTCTCTGACCTTCCAGAGGGCTTAAGATAGCACGCCAGACGAGGGGTAAACTTCTTACAGAAGGGGAAGAAGTAAACGTAACTGGAATGTGTATCGTTCTGAACCATCTGGCTCCAGAATGCTGGTGCGATTCAACCCAAACTTGATCAGCACGTTTACAACTAAGAGTTCGGCAAGTCGGGGTCGAACTTAAGCCAGATCTCCCAATACTTACCAGCGATCGCAATGGAAATGTCTTGCACATCACGCAACTTTCCATCAGCAGCAGTCTCGCCAAGTGGACCCACGTGGCGCTGCTCAAAATCACGAGTTGTTCACAATCCAGCCAAACATATCCTTCGGCATTGCTCCTGCACATTGCCCACCCACTATGCTTCCTCTAGCCCTGCCTGCACCGCCTGCTGCCTCCGCAGGCCGGCTCTCTGACTTTCTCAACCGCGGGGTGATCAGCGTTGAGGGCGTCAAGTTTCTGGCGCTGGATGAGGCAGGGGACGGTTTGCCAGATGATGTCGACGAGCTTGGGAGTGGGAGCGCGGCAGTTCCCCGCTCTCACGCTTCTTATCGTCAGTCCCCAGGGGGATCTCTGGTCGCCACGGCGGGCTGGTGTTAGGAGTGGGGTTGCGGAAAGTGTTGCGCTGGAGGCGAAAGGAGTTTCGGAGCGATGGGGCTCTGCTCCCGCGAACCCACTTCAAATGGCACATATTTGGGCTGAGTCGAGGCGCGCAGGTGTCGATGCGTTCATATGTGTCCTGTTTCCTCTTCCTTCGGGCACGGCAGGGGGTGGGGAATTCCTGGTGGAGACTTGTCCGGAGTCCCTCGGCGTCGTGTTGGGCTAGACATCCAGGGGAGGGGGTCGAGGTTAGGGACCAGGCGCGAGGCCCGCTCGGAGCCCAACGATGGCACCGTGTCCATCTTGCACCAGAACGTTCACGGTGTAACATTCTGCATGTTTTGTGGGCGCTTGCCTTGGCTTGGGTTTTTGTTGACGCTCCGCGTAGGTACCCCCTACCGTTGCCCTGCTTTCGACTTGCTTCGCGAGCCCGTGGACCAAAACGTAGGTACCCCCACATACCTACCCAGAAACACAACAGCTGTCTGAAACAAGTGTAGCCATCGTACAGGCCCAGCATCGACACGCATTTTGGGCGGTTCCGCCGATATCTCCGAACAGGCGCGGTCGAACCAGCTTGTTGCCGTCTGGGACGTGGTTCGTTGTAGCGTGACGCAGCCTTAACATTGCTTAGTTGCCGCGTTGCGTGTTGGAGGGTTTTTGTTGCAAGGACGCCCTCGAGGGCGCGAAGTTATTCGCGCTTCGCGGTTCGGCTCCGATTCATCCTCTTCCTCCTCTTCTCCCCTGGGAGGTGGCGCGAGAGCGCGAAGTTGTTCGCACTTCGCGCTTCGCGCAGCGCGAAGCGCGAAGTTGGGAGCCCTTGTTGTTTGAGGCATCTTCCATCTTTGGGCTCCCTTGAAGCCTTGTGTGGGGGCTGCTGGTGCCCCCCTGGAGCCACCCAGGCCGATCGTTCGCTTGGGGCAAGGACTGCCTCGTGGGGCGCTCTCGGGGCACTCCTGGGGTCCATCGGTGCCCCTCTTCGGGCACACCTCGGCCATCTTGAGAACTCAGAGGCCCAGCGTGAGGCGAACCTGTGAAACGGTGAAACTCGCTGAACACTATACCAGGTGGTTCATGCACATGGCCTCTCGGGGGCATCCTTGTGAGGCTCAGGGGCCACGCCGTAGTCCAATCCGGGCCTTCATGGCGTTATTGAATTATTGGAGCCATGTTGGAGGCAATCGTGGAGGCCGTCTTGTGCTACCAGTGAACTTGAGTTCATACGTGACCAGTTTGGACCTTCTGGCTTCCCACGGCTTCCTAGGCACAGATCTCCTTGGGGGGTCAGGGGGATGGGCAGTACCTATCCACGAAAGGGGAAGCAAGGGCGTCCGCGGTTGGATCGATCGGGTTGCGTCGCAGTCGGTCGCGTTCGGTCGGTCTGGTTCGGTCGGTTGCATCGTTACCACGCAGCTGCACCATTCCAGGCTGCCTGCGGCCAATCGGTTTCGGTGACGCTGTCGGTCCTGGTGGTTTTCGGTTGCGCCACCGCCTGGGGCGGCCTTGGGAAGGAGCGGGCGTGTTGCAGAGACGGGTCCGCCAGAGCACATACGCCCTCAGTGTCGGGAGCAGCTTCGAGCCCAGGGCGGCGTCCCTCTCGCTGTCGTCCGCGCCCGCGGGGGGCGCATATTGTGTTGGTTTTTCTGCGGCTGCTATGTCGGATAGGTTGGTCTCCAACACAGGGTACAGTTCGATCTGATCGATCCGATTCGATAATCATTCTGGCGGCCCCAGTCGGTTCGGTTCTAGATTCCGACGATCCGAAGCGACCCAATGTTTGCATGGCGTTGTTGTGCATCCTGGCGCAGCCAATCCGATTCGAGTTCGACTCCGTGCCGGTGCAGTCCGATGCGATGCAGATTTCGATGTGATCCGATTCCTTGATTCGAAGCTTTGCTAATGCGCCTATTATCTAGGTCACCCTCCAAGGTGCGAAGCTGATCGCGCTTCGCGTATCGCGGCCTGGGCAGGACAGCTGCACTTCTCCGAGGTGGCCTCGCGAGGGCGCGAAGATAACCGCGTATCGTAGGGCGCCATGCGCGAGGTTAGGTGGCCCAGGTGATTCTTGACAGTTGGACCCCATGTGCTGTTCCAAACTCATCCATTGGGGATCATTGCTTGTCAGCGCTGCAGGAGTCTGAGCGAACACGGGCTGGGGCTCGGCGGTCCCCGTTTGGCTTCACTCTCGCCCCACAGGCCTTCGTTCGGGGGCAGCAGGCGGAGCCAATACGTTGGAAGAGGGGCTCGGGGCTCTTTCGCTTTTTGTTTCGGTGATCCCTCGGATCAGGCGATGGCTATGCCTGCATCGGGCAAGACGTAGGGATTACATGACGCATCTTGGATTTGCACATCTTGTATGTTTGTCGGCTGTTGATCTTCTCTTGTGGCCGCGTTGCGCGCAGCAGACACGAAGCTACTCAGCCGATTGGACTGCCGACCGCTCGGCGTACCAAGGGGTCCCCGCCTGGGCCAGGCCGCGCCGACGAGCTCCGTGACCGAGGTCCAGGTGCGCGGCTCTTCAGGCTATGATGCCCTAGGACGTGCACCAGCAGCTGGTGGCGCGTTCAGGGCAGGTGGCCAGGGTGCAGTTGGCTGAGTCCGCCACTGACGCACCACCCGCAGGCCCAGGATGCTGGCACTGGCCAGCGGCCACGGACCCCGTGGCAGCTCCTGGACGGGTGCCGCTGTTTTTGCGGTCGGCGGAGGAGGTGCAGACTGTCTGAGCCGCTCTCCACGGGCAGACAATCCAGGTGGGGATGGATCTCGTCGGGCTGAGGGTCGCCATCGACATCATGGACATTCTGGGAAACGGCAGGCGGAGGCGGGGCGCCCGGCAGCCCGCCTCCGCAGGGAACTAGATCGGGCAAGACACCGACCTGGAGCCGCTGGGGGTGGCGGCCCTGGAACTCAGGCAATACCTCATTTGGGGCGCACGTTTCCATTATCGAGATCACTTTGCAGATCTTCTCCGCGCCACCCAGGGCCCTGGATGACACGGGTCCTGGAGGCCCTGGCTGTGGGTCTGGTCTCCCTCGTCTATTTCTTCGTCGTCTTGACGATCGTCCGGCAGGCGATCAACCTCATGGAATGCATGCCATGGAATGTATGCGGAGGTACCACCTCTGGCTATTCACGCCCGCGTGCGCCTTCGCGCAGCTCTGGGATTCCACCCAGCACCGCCCCCGGCAGGTCGGGCACCGCAGCTGCCCCTGCGCGCACCTCCGCCCCCTTGGTGCCAGCAGTTGATCCTCCAGTGGGCGGGGCATTTCGCGGGGCCCTGTCAGTAGTCACCTGGAATGCCCAAGCATTATTCTCGTCCCACCCCCAGCGGCCGCGGCGGACGACGAGATATGTTGGGCGATTGATTCGGTACTACGACGCCGTACTCCTCACAGAGACTCACAGTGTGGCAGGAGCTGCGGACGCCTGGATTGGGCCCCGATGCCGTCAGGCGTGGTGGTCACACGGCACTTCGGCTCGGGCCGGCGTGGGGATCTTGTTGCACGATCGGTTCGCCGCGGCTTTCCAAGAGGGGGAGTGGCTCGAGGTCGACGCTAGGCGCGCTGCCGTTCGACGATTCGGCGGGCTGCTGGGGCATCTGGACCCCGTGGTGATGCGCAGCTACACTGGCACCGCTGACGCCCTCCATCTGCAGCCAGCGCCTCGCCCCGACGTAGCTGCGGCGGCGCCCGCCCCCCCCCCCCGCGCTAGCGCAGCAGAGGGCCGCCCTGAGGAGCCGAGTGGCGCGCGTGCTCCGCCTGGCGATCTCGGCGCTGATTGCGGTCGCTGGGGACTTCAATTGGGCGGCGGAGTCAGCAGACTTCACCACCTTAGCCACCGGCGCTGCATCCGGGAGTCGCGATCAGGCCGAGGAGCGCCATGGGCGGCAGCTGGTGAGCCCCGTCGGACTACTCGAAATACACCAGCCTGCGATGACCCATCGAAGCGGCAGCGCATTTTCGCGCCTGGACCGCATCTATTGGAGTCAGCAGACCTCGGAGCAGTTGTACCGCTAGTGCTTCTCGGCGGCGCTGGAATGAGCTCCGTGGCTGTCCCATCACCGTGCGGTGGCGGCTGGCAGGCGGACGCCGACGCGCGCAGGGCAGCCTGTCGGCCCAATGCCAGCGGCTGCCACGACGCACGAGGCGTGGGCGGCACCGGGCGGCGCTCGCGCACCACGGCCTCATTCGCTCCGAACCCACGGCTGTTCCACTCCGACGGCTGGTTTTGCTGGGAGACGCTATGCGTATTGTTGCTGGGAGAATCGGTCGGGAGCGATCGCGCCAAATACTAGCCGAAGCCCTGGAGGACTGCCTGGGGGTTACCATGGAATTCCCCCGATCATTGGAAGGTGGCTTCATGGGCACCGTCAGCAGATGCTTGGAGCGCTATCCCACACGTGCCACCCTGGTCGGCAAGCCTCACATTCCGTCGCAGGCTGGCCTGGGCGCGCTCGCGGTCAACGTGTTGTACGAGGCTTCGTGGGAGGTCTTTCGAGGCTGGCCAACGTCGTCGACATGGACGAGGCCATGCAAGCCGCGGCGCTCACCGGGGAGGACGCGGCCGCGGTTTTTTTTGATTTTGCGGTGGCCTTCCCGAGTGTCTCCCATGATTTTTTGTTCGACGTGCTATGGGAATCGGGTGTCCCTCAGCGGGTGTTCTGCCATCTGCGATCTTTGTATTTCCGCAGCCACTGCCAGCTTGCAGTCGGCGGCGGGGTCCACGAAGGCTTTCCTGTGACGGCTGGGATTCGCCAAGGTTGCCCGCTCTCTTGCTGCTGCTCGCGGTTGCCGCGGACCCGCTGCTTCGCCGACTTGCCCGGGCACTCCCAGGTGCGACCCGTCGGGCCCTTCGCAGAGGACTTCGCGGCGGTGGTAATTGGCCGAAGGCCCCGCTGCTGCTCGCGCCGTGGGGCCGATATTTGCCGAGCATGCGGCCATGTCTGGGCTCCGTCTGCATCTGGGCAGAACGGTATGGATACCGCTCCGCCTGGGAGACCCAGCTGCGGCGCGCCTGGCGGTGCTCGCCCACGGGAGGCCTGTGAATTGCGCGCTGCGCCGAGCACCTCGGGTTCCTGCTTTGGCCTGCCCGCGGGGAGCAAGGGATGGGCCTCGGCGTGTGGCAAGTATCTACAGCGCGCGCGAGCATGGGAGCATGGGGACGCGCCGGCGGCGGCATGTGGCGCAGCACCGTTTTTTTACAGAGTCTACACGCTTTCTCCACTCTGACTTCCCTGGCGCCGCTGTACGAGCCGCCGTCCGAGTGGCCGCAGCTTCAAGTAAGAGTTCTGCCGTCATGTTTTGCCCCCCCCCCGTTGCCCGCCACGGCCTCCCGAACACACGGTTTCCCGGGTAGTCCCCCCGACCAGGACATCGTGGCCGTGGCTGCGAAGCCTTGGGTCTGCCATTGGGAGGCCGCGGCCGAGAGCGGGTCCGATGTCACGGCAAGAGCAGAGAGAATCCGGCAGACACGCTTGTTCTCCATGCAGTCCCATCCCCGACTGGGTACATGGGCTGTGGTTCGACAAGGCATTCCTGCTGCAGCTGGACGCGGCAGGCCGTGGCCCCCGCGCGCGCGGGCTGACGCGCAGCGCCGTCGCGACAGCCATCGGCTCCAGTGATTTGGGCGTCCAGAGAGCGAGGCGGCAGCGGACATGTGCGCAGCTGGTTGCCCCAGACCGGGCAGGCCCGCTCCAAGGGCTCCTTCTCCCGCGGCTAGCTCGATGGCAGTGCGGCACCACTACGGAAAAATGCTGGATCGGGCCTTCGCGACCTACCCAGCGGTTGCGGGCGCGGTGCCCCCGAGGGCCTTGTCGGCCTGCGTTCGATCCTTGTGAAATGGGTGGATAACCGCCCGGCGGATCCAGCGGCGCGCCCACTGCTGTTTCGGTTGCGCAGGCGCGGAGGATTCCGTGGAGCACTACGCGACGTACCCGCTTGTCGCGGCCGTCGCGGCTGGTGGCGACACCACCTTGGCTTCACAGCCGGCGCTCGTCAGACTGCAACTCCGCCTCGCACTCCGTCAAATTCTCTGGCTGCCTCCACCACCTGCTCCGTTTCCCCCCCGGTTGCGTGAATCAGGGAACGGAACATTAACGTCAGCTTGTGGTCGTGTAGGTGATATGGTTGGCCCCCGTGTTCTTGGCCATCTCTGCCAGCAAGTCGTCTGGACGGGGCTGCGTTAACATTTTAGTGGAACCCAACCTGCTGCCTCTCGACGCCGACTTTCGTGACAGATTCGTTGCGTGTTCAATTCAAAGCGCAACGAACATGTCACGACATTCTGCCTTAATGCTGTTTTTTCTATACCGCGCCATGCGTCCATTTCCCACCCTGCAGATGTATAGGGTGCGTTGCTCCGGCTGTTGAGTGTTTGGAAGCCCGAGGGGGGGCCCGCACAAACGGAACCAACAGCGACACGACACGGTCGTACATTGTACAGCATGTGAGTGTTGTCCCCGCCGCGTCGCCGATATCGTGACGGCATGGGGTGGCTCAGGGCCACGCCTACGAATATCCCGCACTCCCCTCCCTTCTCGTCCTCCCGCGCTTGCCTGTTGGAGGCGGAGCTCTGGCGAACCCTTCTGCATTTCGCCTCCTCTGTTTGTCTCTTCCCCGCCCCCCTCCGCGCACGTCGTCCCACCGGGCCCGGCCCTGGGAGAAGGCCGCCTCGGTGGCGAGTGGCTGCACGACGCTCAGCAGGAACGTTTTTCCTCCCCTCCGTCCTCCCCCCCGCCTCTCCCCTTGCTTCCGCCTCCTCTTTGGGTCGAGTTACGGCGCGCGCCCATGGCGGTCGATTGCCGTGCTGATAGTTGGCGTCCGCGCCGGCTGCAAGCGAAAGGAGGCCGAAACCGGGCCGCCCGGACTCGCTGGCCGCCCTCCCACAAAGGAACCGCCCTTAGCCCGCGCGCAGCGGGATGATGTCTTCCTCCTCCCTCCTCCTCCCCTCTCGGGTTCTCCTCCTCCGCTTCCCCCCCCCGAAGGATGAGCCACGGCGCGCTCCCGCACAGAACCGTCGTCGTGCTGGTTAATTGAGGCTTTTGACGGGCCGCCCAGGCTTTCTGACGTCACCGCTCTCTTCCAGGGGAGCCTCGTCGAGCACGCGCTCAGGGTCGAGTCCTCTCTTTTTCCTCCGCCTCCTCCCTCCTGGGGTACATATTTAAGCACGTTTCAGTTGCCAGTGAATTGCAACGATCTTCTTAGCGATGTCCTTCCGCTGGGATGCACTGTCTTTTGCATTGTCGTTTGCATCAGGAGCTCAGTTTATAGAATCATCGCTCCTCCGAGGGGCGCGAGCCTCCAGAGTGCTCCACCTCTGACTGAGTGCGCCGCCGACAGGCTGCAATCTGTTTGCGTTGTCGTCGTCCCCGTTATTTTTCTATCCGCTGACTCGAAAAGACGCGGCTAATGTTGTTGCTGGTGGTGTTTCCGTGGACTTGCCCGGATACCCGTTTTGAGGGCCCGTGAATTGTTTTGTCCGATAATTTCCCCTCTGACCAAAATCCTTGGTCGTTTTGTGTTGCCGTTCAGGATTGTGATCCACGTGCACGTCCGCGGTACGTAGCCCTTGGCTCGGGCTGTTGGCGCAAGGTTCCAGCGCCGCCGTTGCCCCGTTTGAGTGCCCCCCTGGTCCCCGCGCTCGTCTGCAGACCCCCGTGAGCAGGCAGGCCTACCGGGGGCAACGTTAGGAGGAAAGAAGATAGAAGATCAGGAGGGGATGCATCGACCTCAGTCGCCCATGCCCACTGATCGCCGACGGGGGCCCGATAGCCCCACCACGCCGGGGATTTGCGGATTCGGTATCGGGGGCCTATCGCCGATCTATCGGCGAGGTATCGCCAATTCCATGTCGATGCTCACCCCCCTGAGCTGGTCCCTCCCCTCACGTAGCCACTCCCTTTTCGGCGGCGACCTCACGGGGAAAGTCTGAGGGGGCGGACCTTCTCAGAAGGCTCGGAAGGCATCCGGCCTTCTGAGAAGTTCCCTGAGCCTTCTCCGAGGGCAGGGACGACTTCCCAGAAGGCCGAGAAGGCTTCCCAGAAGGCCGGAGGGCTTCTGGGAAGGCCCGCCGCCTCCTGAGAAGGCCTGCCCCCTCTCACTCTGCCCCCGAAGCATGCCCGCCCGATGGGCCCTGGCCGCCGCCCCGGCGGCGCTCGCCGCAGCCCGCGGAGCGGCACCGCAGCCTCGGGCGGCGCCGGGCGCGTGCGCCGCGGCGAGCCTCCCCGCCCCACCACGCGGCGGCGGCGAGCACCTGCTGCTGCAGCGCCCCCCGCGGGGCGGCTCCCACGGAGGAGAAGGGCAGAGGGGGGGGGGCCAGGGGGAGGGGAGGGGAGGGCTTCTTGGGAGCACCCCTGCTTCTCAGAAGGTGCGGGCTTCCTCTATGGATGTGAGGCCCGCGCCTTCTAGGGAGCAGCCTCCTTCTAAGAAGCCTTCCGCCCTCCCCCCACCCCGCTCTGCGCGCCGCCAACCAGCCCAACCCGAAGGTCCCAGACCCCTCCAAATTTCGGGCTGGGGGTGTACGGATTGCACCGTGCTTTCTCGGTGTTCCAGAACGCCCCCCCGTTGGAAATTGGCAGGCCCAAGGGCGACTTCGGGTTCGGTTGAGGTGGCCTGGTGGGCAGTCAGAATGTGCGGCAGGCTCGTGTCGTGTCGGCGCGGCTGCGTGCCCAGCGCGGGCGTGCATGGTTGAATGCCGCCAGTGGCGAGGAGCCGCCGATCGTTGAAAGATGAACGATCCGCGCGGTGTCAGAAACCAACGCTGGAGTCGGCACGACGCGAACCCGCCGTACTGCCACACGGCTGGGCTCGGGTGTTCAGGCATGTTCGTTTAGGCCTCCCAGATGGGGGCCGAGCAGATGGGGTCGGAGGATCGCACCGCATCCCCGATGCATCGGCGGTGCGGCTCGATGTGGAGCCCGATTTCTCTACGCTGACGTGGCAGATGCATTTTCATTGCGTCACAGACGTCGACAATGCATCGCCGATGCAATGGCTATGCGGCGCGGTCCTCGAAACCCATGGCCTCCAAACCGATGTGGGAGGCCTCTCCAGGTACCGCCACAGCTGGGCTAGGGTTTTCGGACTTGCATTCGCTGGCTCGGGGAAACATACGGCTCGAGTTCCGCAAACTTTCCATTCAGCCTTCCGGGAAGTCCCCAAGTCTTCCAGTCAGCCTTCCAGGAAGTTTCCTGAGCCTCCCCCGAAGACAAACACACACACAAATGTCTCAGAAGGCGCGAGGGCCTCTGAGAAGTCCCGCCGCCTTCTGAGAGGGCCTTCTCCTTCTGACTTCCCCCCCTCGCTCGCCGCCGATTCTGACGCCCCGGCTGCGTTCGCGTTTCTTTTCTGGCCTCGGGGTGTTCTCCAGCGGCTGCGCTGCGCCGATGGGCGTTCCGCGTGGGTGCCCGCCGATCGTCGTCTTGAACGGTGGCCAGGCGCCGGAAACATGGCCCGAACTGGGACCGGACGAGTGCCAGCGTTGCCCCGAGGAGGAAAAGGTTCCAGACGGGGCCGGGACGAGCATAAATCCGTTCCAGAGCGTTCCGGACGTTCTGAGAAGGCCGCGGCGCCCGGGACATCCTCCAGAGCCGCCGGATCTCAGAGATTCTCGATTCATCCTCACCCGATGTTATCTTCGTCCTGGTTTCGTCTAAAGCATACCGCTGTCCTTCCCTCGTCGTAACGGTTGGATTCGCCTCGACGTTCTGGTCAGAGCGCACCCCGGGAGAGGTCCAGCCCGTCCGGAGAGCCCCCGTCGCCACGGCTGGATGCGACTCGAGGTCCTGGTCAGCAATGCATCCCGAGAGAGGTTCCGGGAGTATTGGTCCGCAGGCAGGTAACGGGTTCAGCGCAACCAGGGCTCAGCCAGAGCGCCAGATCTTGCAGGATTTTGCAAAGCCAGACGTTGGCTGAGCTGGGCTTGAAAGCCGTTCGTGGCGGTTCCTTCTATACTGAGTGAGCTCGGATTGGGCAGCCTCCCAAAAATTGCAGCCCCCCAAAAATGATGGAGCGGGGTTGGGGCTGGACCGGATTAGTCCGCTCTCAGGGGGGGGGCAGAGGTCGAAGTCCAGTCGGACGGCAATTGTCGGGTCGTACGAAAGCCTTGACGTCCTCGCGATGTGAAGCAATCACGACGGGGTTTGGTCCAGTGCAAGGATAGGGGGATATTCTCAGGAGGAATTGCGTCGATTCGACCACTAATCGCCCATTCATCGCTTAGGATGCAACTCATTGGAGGTTAATTCGGCATCGGCGCTGGTACATCCGTGGATTGAGGTTCGGCCTACTCCGGCATCATCCCGTTTAGTCCAGCTTGATTCCGCCTAATCCGGCTCAGTCGGGTGCAAACGTGGGCTCAGTTCAATCCAGTTTAATGGCCCTTCAAGTTTTGAGCCTTCATCAGGCCTAATAGCCCTCAGTCGTTCCTACGAGGTCCTCACGGGAGCTGCCTCACAACATCGCCGATAGGTGCCAGAGCGGTAACGATCGTACGGTGGGGGGGAGGGGCTTGGACCGCCCACACAGGTTGGTGTTCGCGCGCGTACTACGGCCATCGCAGCGCACCCCCGCCCCGACGCGCCCCATCCCAACCAAGCCTTACCGTTGCCCGGCCCACGCACCCCCCAGTGACAACAAATCACCCGTTCGTCTGTAGGTGCTCGATGGCGCACCCCGCCCAGGAGCGCGCGGATGCGCCCTAGGCAGCATGGTCTTTTTGGGGGGCCCCCCCCCAGGCTCGTTGCTGGCGCGCCTCGCGGGGGGCGCCCGCGGGGGGGCCGCCGCGTGCGAGGACGCGCCGCCCCCGCAGTGGGAGCTCCCGTGCGCCTCGTACGGGTACTTGTGCGCGGACGGCGAGTGGGGGGGTCAGGTCCCCCCGGGGGCAGCGGAGAGATTGTGCTCTTACCAGGGGCAGCACAGACCACTCCCACCCCCCCCGAGCCAGGACCCGTACTCCCGACCTGGTGATCCAGGAGGTCTTGGGTGGGGGTGGGGGTGGTCTTGGGGCTCCCAAGAATCCCAAGAACCCCCCCCCCAAGACAGGACCCCCTGGAGCACCAGGTCGGGAGTGGGGGTCCTGGCTGGGGGTGGCGGTGGGCCTTTCCTCCCCAGGGTGACGACCGTTACCAGACATGCTAGAAGAACTCACGTTGGGGATCAGGAGGAAGGCCGTCCATCATCACCTTCCAGTGGGCCTCTGTTCTGAATCGTCCCTCCTCGCTGCCCCCATCTTCTGCTTGACGGCTTGCGCTGCTTCTCGACCCCGTGCTTGCAACAAGCCTCCCGGATTACGCCGCAGCTCATGTTACGCTTGCGATTTGTTCAAGACAGGAGGAGAGCCAGCATCATACGCAATGTTAGGGGGGGACAGACTCAGGGAGGGACGCATCGACCCACAATCGCCCATTGTTCGCCGATAGGGGCCTGGTAGCGCACCCCACCGAGGAATGTGCGAATCCGTTATCGAGGGCCGACCGATCTACTGGCGATGTTTCGCCGATTCCAGCTCGATGTATCCCCCCTGAGCTGGTCCCCCCTAACATTGCCCCTCAGGTCCAATCGTACTGCCCGGTGACATGCGGCACGTGTCCGGCGACGGCAGCGATAGGATCTCTGAGGGGGGAGGGTACCAATACCGCGACCATTGCCTCGCGTTCGCCTTTTGAGCCTCCGGGGAGGCCCTCGTCCCCACGGCTGGATTCGTTTCAAAATCTGGGTCAGAACGCACACGGGGGGGGTCCACGGAGTAGCGGTACAATCAATTTTCCTTTGTTCCCACAGGAACGACGTGCGAGGACGCACCGCCCGCGCAGTGGGAGTTCCCGTGCTCCTCGTACGAGCATTTGTGCGCGGATGGTCAATGGGGGGGCCAGGTCCGGTCTCATTGCCCGTTGACCTGCGGCACCTGCCCAGAGACGGCAGCGACAAGAAACGGCAGTTCGGTGACGGCAGCGCCAGGGCTGGCGTGCGCGGACGCGCCACCAGAAACGTGGACGCAGCCTTGCAGTTTCTACGCGAGTTTTTGCAGCAACCCTGGCTATGAGGCTCTGATGGCCACGCACTGCCGCCAGACGTGCGGCTTGTGCGGCGGCGCCAGCGGGGCTGTTGCGCGGCCGAACCAGACCATTGGCAGCACTGGCCGCTGCAAGGCCCTGTCCGACAATTCCAACAAACTGGCACAGTCCCTGCACGTGGTGCTTGTGCCGTCAGGCTTCGGCGGTGACTTGGCCGCTTTCGAGCGCGCGGCGCGCAAGATGTACCAAGTCTTCTCCAGCTACAGGCCCTTCGATGCGGACAAAGTCGATGCGTTACAGGTCTGGTACGTGGACGCCGAGCTTGACGAGAGCACCGAGCTGTGCGTCTTCGGCGACGATGCCAATGGCTCGATCCCGGGCTGCGCGGCGGTGGACCGCCTCCTTTGCTGCCCTGGTAAGGACAGGCTTGTGGAACATGCTGAACGCCACTGCGGGTCTGGCCTGGTCATGAACACCCTCATCGTGCACAACGACGCGAGGTACGGCGGCGCTGGGTTTCCCTGGACAGCTGCAGCTTCCGTATCTGTGAACGAAAGTTCTGCACAGATCGCCATTCACGAGCTGGGGCACTCTCTCTTTGGGCTGGGTGACGAGTACACGGTCGGATGGGGCAACGCCGATGAAGATCCGAATTGCGACAGATCTGGCTGCTCGAAGTGGTCAGATCTGATCGGGAAGTGGGGCGTCGGGTGCAAGCCAGGGAAATGCGGCGACGGCGCCTGGTACTGTGCAGAGGAGACCATGATGGCAAGTTTCAGCTGGAAGTTCGGCGAAGTCAACGAGCGCATCTCCTGCTGCAAGTACTTCTACCACACCGGGAGCATTCCTAGGTATTGCCAGAAGTTCAATGAGGACGGGCTCGACCTCACCTCGTATTGCAACGGCACGCTGTGGCACGGAAGGTACACGAACTTGGGGACCGACGTGACTTTGCTGCAGGGGAACGGCTCCTCATCCAGGCCACTGGGCGAGCCCGGGTCCGACCTGCAGGGCACGCCCTACGTCCAGGTGGCCAGCCCCGTGGCGTGGACGCTGCGGGCGCTGCCTCCCCGTTCAGAGGCAGAGCTGGACGGCGAGCAGTGGGAGTGCGTGCGGAGCGAAGAGCCGGTGCCGGACGGGCTGTACCTCCGCGAGACGGTGGAAGGCGACCTCGCCGGTGCCCGCGATCATGGGCGGCTGGGCGGCCACGGCACGGTGGTCGTGGAGGTGCTGGGCAGCGGGTCTCGCCAGGTGCGCGACGCCAAAACAAGGGGTCGTTTGCGCCGACACCGGCGCGCAGGCTGCCCGCGTAAGGCCGCGCGTCAGCGGTGCCGGCCCGCGTAAGCTGAGGCGTAAGGTCGTTCTGCCATCTCGCGTAAGACTCCTGTCTTTTCGTCGCCCAGGTGGACCGCACGATCACGCTCACGGTGGACAGACAGGTGGAGGTGCCCTTCCCCGTGAGCGGCGGTGGCGACGAGGACCAGCAACCCGTCGTCTACGAGCGGCGGGGCTCGATGCGGGTGGTGCTCCGCTCCGGGGAGGGCTGCCGCGTGCGGCCCTCTGCGCAGGGAGGTAGCGCCGCCGCGGCCGAGTGAGGGCTTGCTGCAGCCGCGCGCTGTCGACGGCGTAACTCGTCGGCGAAGCCGCGGTCGTGGTCGCGATCGTGTCGGCTGTCTGCGACGCTGCGCCGCGCGCTGCGGGCGCTTCCGCCGCCCCCGAAGCTCTCTCGACGAGGGCAGTCCAGTGTCTCTAGGCCTCCCAGATGGGTTCCGAGTAGATGGGGTCGGAGGATCGCGCCGCAAGGTAGTGTCAGTTTCTCTTCACTCCGACGTGGCCGATCCATCGCCAACGTGGCTGATGCATCGGTGATTCGGTGCAGTCTTCCGATCCCGTCTACTCGGGCCCCAGCTAGGAGGCCTCTAGTGTCGGGGGCAAGAGCGTGGCCATGATGCTGTCTTCGCAGCCGCCACCGCGCAACGCGTAGTGCACAGTCTCCTGGGTAGGCTTGCGAGCGTGAGACTTCCAGCGCAAGATGTACACGATGCTGCGGGCGAAGACCCGCATACCTCAGTGTACATACACTCCCACCTTCGCGCAGCAGTGGTGTCGAGGAGAAGCACGTCGACGGCGCGCGCGCGGCAGCGGTTGGCGGCGCCCACGAGTGCTTGGCGCGATGGGATTTGGCTTCTAAAAAGGGCGGGGAGGAGGCTTTTTAGCAGGCAGGGGCCTTCTCAGAAGGCCCCCAGGCTCTCTCGGAAGGCTTCTTAGAAGCCGGGCGGGCTTTGATCAGGCTTCTGCCTTCTGAGAAGCCCCACTTGCTTTCTCAGAAGACGGCCCCCTGGCGTCACCCTCATTCGGCGCCGCCAACAGCGGAGGGATTCCTCCGCGCGGGGCCTGGCGGGCTTTGATGTCGCTGTACAGGATGATGCGACGGATCCCCGCATTTGACAGCAGGCTGCATGAACGTAAAATGTCGGAGGTCCTCGCTGAGTTCTTTGATCGCCGATGGGACCCCCTGGCAGCGCCTCCAGCGCCGCCCCTTGCGCGCTCCGCGTGCCAGGGAGGGGGGGCCAGCGCCGATCTGCGCGGACCTCCGCAAGTGTAAAGTTCATGCCGCCTCTCATGTCTTGAAGCAGCGGCCGCGCAACAGCCGCGGCTCGGCAGGCGCGCAAGCAGCCGCGCACCAGAGCTGCCCCAGGGGCGGGCCCGCGGTGGCGAGGTCGGCGCCCGGCGCGTAGCCGCAGGACGAGGGCAGGACGTTGCGCCGCAAAAGCATGCGCGGGCCGCAGTCGGATCTCGGGCAGCTCGCACGACCGCCCGAACCGGCGCCCGTTGAGCGCCCGTGGCCTAGCTCGCACCACGTGGCTTGCACTTCGAAAAGGCGATAGCGGTCCACGCTCGCAAACATAGAAGCATGTGTGATCTCTTGGGGGAGTCGTGGGCAGGACTGTATATATATATATAACACAATAATAATAAGACATACTATAACCCAACCCCAGATTATACATACTATAGTAGTATATCATGTAGTCTGTTTTTGAAATACCATTTAGTAACATGTAGTACCCTATGTTATAATATGAATTACTTTAGATGAATGCATCGTAATTGTAATATGCTAATTCCGTATACTTTAACTTTATGTCATATAATATGGTATCATCTAATATAGTATACTACAACATCATATGCTACTGTAATATAACAGTACACAAGAACGGCCCAATACGCTCCCAAGCAACCCAAGGTAGATTTCGGACGGCTCTCCAGGCTCCCAGAAAGCTTTTAAGAGACCTCAAGAGAGCTCCGAGAGGCCTCCCGAGAGCGCCCGGAGAACCTAACACCGTTCATTTCCATTGACTTGTTTAACCAAGTTTTTGGCCTTCTCACCATTTCATGCATCCAACGCTCCAAGACGCCGAAGAGGCCCCCAAGACCGCCCCAAGACCGCCCAAGAGGCCCCCAAGGTGGCCCCAAGACGGGCCAAGATGGCCCCAAGACTGCCGAAGAGTCGACCAGGACATCCCCAGACCTCTCAGAACAGCCCCAAGATGGGCCGAAGAGCGGGAGCAGGAGGCCTCCAGAGAGCTCCGAGAGGCCTCCGGGACCCCCAACAGGCCCCCAACACACCCCAGACTCCTGAGAAGCCTCGAAGAAGCCCCGACGAGGCCCCAAATACAGCCCAAGAGAGCTTCGGGAGCCGTCCCGAGAGAGCCCGAAGAGGGTAACCTCGTTGATTTCCAAAGGTTTTGGTTAAACTTTTTTCGCCTTCTCACGTTTTCCTGCTTCCAACGCTCAAAGACAGAGTAACTTGAACAACAAATCCAGATATTCCCTTTTGTCCAGTTGGGACTCCTACTCCCTATCCTATTCCTCGACATTTTCTTGTCCATCCGAATGGGCCGTCTTGGAGGCCATCTTGGACCATCTTGGGCGAACTTGGAGGCCATCTTAGACCGTCTTTTCCGTCTTGGACGCGATGGGACCAATGGAGAACTAATCTTCCTGGGTTTTCTGGGTGGCCAGCGGGTTGGGCCGAGATCCCAGTGGGAGTTCTTTCGAACAGAAACAACACCTTTCAGAAATTTAGCACGCAATGCACCCCTGTAATAAATCACCAGGGAGCGGCGGATGCAATGGCCTTGAGCCCAGCCCGACACCGTGCCTGGGTTGTCGATGGTCTCTGGGGCCTCATGGAGGTCTCTTGCGGGCATCTTGGGGGCCACCGTCTTGGCCGTCTTGGACACGATGGGACCAATGAGGAACGAATTTTCAGACCCCCTAAATCGGAGATTTTGCAAGGGGGGAACATCTGCCACTGACACGGGGTCCGTCGATTGGTTTTTCCTTCTGCTTCATGGGGTTCATGTGCTTTTGGGCGCGTCGAGCCCTGGCCAATGGGGCGTCGCGCAAGGGGCTTTGTCGCCCGCCGCGCCGTCAGCGTCTTTGCTTCTGGCCCAACGCAGGCGCGCTCTCTGCACCAGAAGCGAAGGCAGCAGATATTCATACCCCCCGAATCGGAGATTTCGCATGGGAGGAACATCTGCCACTGAGACGGGGCCCGCCGATCGCTTTTTCCTTTTGGTTCATGGGGTTCACGTGCTTCTGTGTGCCAGGGGCCTCATGGCTTCGGGGGCTCTCGCGAGAGCGGCGGATTTCTCTTTCGGCGGGGGCAGGGTTTTTGCTGAACTCTACAGTCCGCCTGGCGCGGAGGCGGGGAGGCAGGCATCCGGCGCGAAGGGGCCTCAAGGGGCCCGTTTTCGTGCGATGGTTTCCGCCCGGCGCGGGGGCAAGGGAACAAACATCCATCCTACGTAGGGCCCTGCTTCGGCCTCGCGGTCTGGGCCAAGACAGGCGAGGCCGTTGGCTCAAATAGGCGGCCGTTGTCACACAGCAGCAGTCAATCCCAGTTCCTCGACGCCCCGCGGGCCAGGCGCGGCGGCGCCCGATGCTCGCCGCGATCCCTGCAGAGCTCCGCGAGACAGTCGGGGCGGAGATTCTGGTTGGTCTCTGCGAGTGGTTCCATGGTGCGTTGGCGCGCTCGCCGCCGCCCTGCCACCCAGACCGTCCCGGATCGCCTGTTTCGGGAGTTGGCAGACGGCGGAGCGGTGCCCAGCAGCGACCTGCAAGGTTTTAGTCTGGAGGAGCCACGGGAAGTCTGGTCAGCCTTGAGGACGTTGTCGGGCGCTTTCTTCCGCGCGTTGGCCTGTGCACCAAAGCGCGCGGCGAGGCGACGGCCGACTGTGCCGGCAGGAGGCCCTGCCCAGTTCCAGAAGCAGGCCGGGAACCGATTTTTGGGGCTCCCGGCCAGCTCCGCCCAGCGTCGCTTGCGTGGCCGCGGCGATCGAAGTTCTGGTGCAGGCTAGGGCGCGCAAGGTTGCGCCCCCCACTGTCGCGCTGGCCGAGGCCATCACGGTCGTCTGCAAGGCGCCTGCCGCGACGGCCCTGGCAGCGGGGCCGCACTTGTCGCTGCCGTCGGCGCGGGCAGAGTAGCTGGCCGGCGCTTCGGAGCAGACGCGGGAATCTCTGCTGCTCGGCCGCCTGCTGCTGCAAGAAATGGAAAGTTGAGAAAAGAGCGGGCCGCAGCGCGCGTCGGCAGCGCGACTGCGGGGCAAATTTGCCGAGGCGGCCGGCGCGTCGGAATGGCCGCCGGACGAGGTTGTGTTGTCGGCGTTGGTGTTCACCATTCTTCGTGCTTCCACACTTCCGAGGTACTGCTCGCATTTGCGTTCCGCGCTGCGTTTGCTCCAGACGCCGTTGGGCGCGCTTGCTGATGCCAGCTCGCTCGTCAAGGGGGCGATCAAGAATTCTATCTTTGTTCCCCGGTCAAAGGCCAGCGCGACAGCCAAGCAAGTCCGCGACCATGCGGCGCCCGCGCGCGAGACGTCGGGGGATGCAGAACTTGCGGGTAGCTGGGTGGTGGCAAGGCATGCCACCTTTCGGCATGGTTGTGAGGTTCTTCTATTCGGGAGCGGCGCAGATCACTCAATCTTCAGCAACATCGCGCGCGAGGGCGTTCCTGCAGCAACCGTCGTATTCAACGGGCGGAAGGCGCAGAACAATCCGGCCCACGTCGCGCGACCTTGCGTCTGCAAGGTTACGTTTTCGGATCTGTGTGGCGTCAGCGTCCTGCGTCGTCGGCGGCAGCAAGACAAAATGTTCCCGTCGTTGCAGCGCGACCGGGCGCTCGCAGCGCTCAGGACGGCTGCCCTTGCTATCGGCTTGCCGCGGGGGGCTGAGTGGGGGACCCGCTGCTTCCGCCGCGGGTGGGCCAACGACGCGCTGCGCCACGGAGGAGTGCCGGCGTTGTACTACTCCGGCGGCTGGCATGGTCTGGCCGATTTCGGCAACGCGCCCGCCCAGGCGCAGGGCGAAGTGCTCGGCGCTCAGCGGGCGGCAGAGCTTTCCGAGTCGTCAGACGGCGATTCCGGAGCCGAAGCGTGAAAAAAAGACGTCGGTTGCAGTTGTCATTCTGCAAATGGCCACCGCCGCTCCGCGCGCGCGGCTCGGGGCACGAGTCGCCTGCGTCGCGGGTGCCTCTGGGGGCGGGCGCGTCGAGCCCTGGCCAATGGGGCGTCGCGCAAGGGGCTATGTCGCCCGCCGCGCCGTCAGCGTCTGCGCTTCTGGCCCAACGCAGGCGCGCTCTCTGCACCAGAAGCGAAGGCAGCAGATATTCATACCCCCCGAATCGGAGATTTCGCATGGGAGGAACATCTGCCACTGAGACGGGGCCCGCCGATCGCTTTTTCCTTTTGGTTCATGGGGTTCACGTGCTTCTGTGTGCCAGGTGCCTCATAGCTTCGGGGGCTCTCGCGAGAGCGGCGGATTTCTCTTTCGGCGGGGGCAGGGTTTTTGCTGAACTCTACAGTCCGCCTGGCGCGGAGGCGGGGAGGCAGGCATCCGGCGCGAAGGGGCCTCAAGGGGCCCGTTTTCGCGCGATGGTTTCCGCCCGGCGCGGGGGCAAGGGAACAAACATCCATCCTACGTAGGGCCCTGCTTCGGCCTCGCGGTCTGGGCCAAGACAGGCGAGGCCGTTGGCTCAAATAGGCGGCCGTCGTCACACAGCAGCAGTCAATCCCAGTTCCTCGACGCCCCGCGGGCCAGGCGCGGCGGCGCCCGATGCTCGCCGCGATCCCTGCAGAGCTCCGCGAGACAGTCGGGGCGGAGATTCCGGTTGGTCTCTGCGAGTGGTTCCATGGTGCGTTGGCGCGCTCGCCGCCGCCCTGCCACCCAGACCGTCCCGGATCGCCTGTTTCGGGAGTTGGCAGACGGCGGAGCGGTGCCCAGCAGCGACCTGCAAGGTTTTAGTCTGGAGGAGTTACGGGAAGTCTGGTCAGCCTTGAGGACGTTGTCGGGCGCTTTCTTCCGCGCGTTGGCCTGTGCACCAAAGCGCGCGGCGAGGCGACGGCCGACTGTGCCGGCAGGAGGCCCTGCCCAGTTCCGGAAGCAGGCCGGGAACCGATTTTTGGGGCTCCCGGCCAGCTCCGCCCAGCGTCGCTTGCGCGGCCGCGGCGATCGAAGTTCTGGTGCAGGCTAGGGCGCGCAAGGTTGCGCCCCCCACTGTCGCGCTGGCCGAGGCCATCACGGTCGTCTGCAAGGCGCCTGCCGCGACGGCCCTGGCAGCGGGGCCGCACTTGTCGCTGCCGTCGGCGCGGGCAGAGTAGCTGGCCGGCGCTTCGGAGCAGACGCGGGAATCTCTGCTGCTCGGCCGCCTGCTGCTGCAAGAAATGGAAAGTTGAGAAAAGAGCGGGCCGCAGCGCGCGTCGGCAGCGCGACTGCGGGGCAAATTTGCCGAGGCGGCCGGCGCGTCGGAATGGCCGCCGGACGAGGTTGTGTTGTCGGCGTTGGTGTTCACCATTCTTCGTGCTTCCACACTTCCGAGGTACTGCTCGCATTTGCGTTCCGCGCTGCGTTTGCTCCAGACGCCGTTGGGCGCGCTTGCTGATGCCAGCTCGCTCGTCAAGGGGGCGATCAAGAATTCTATCTTTGTTCCCCGGTCAAAGGCCAGCGCGACAGCCAAGCAAGTCCGCGACCATGCGGCGCCCGCGCGCGAGACGTCGGGGGATGTAGAACTTGCGGGTGGCTGGGTGGTGGCAAGGCATGCCACCTTGCGGCATGGTTGTGAGGTTCTTCTATTCGGGAGCGGCGCAGATCACTCAATCTTCAGCAACATCGCGCGCGAGGGCGCTCCTGCAGCAACCGTCGTATTCAACGGGCGGAAGGCGCAGAACAATCCGGCCCACGTCGTGCGACCTTGCGTCTGCAAGGTTACGTTTTCGGATGTGTGCGGCGTCAGCGCCCTGCGTCGTCGGTGGCAGCAAGACAAAATGTTCCCGTCGTTGCAGCGCGACAGGGCGCTCGCAGCGCTCAGGACGGCTGCCCTTGCTATCGGCTTGCCGCGAGGGGCTGAGTGGGGGACCCGCTGCTTCCGCCGTGGGTGGGCCAACGACGCGCTGCGCCACGCAGGAGTGCCGGCGTTGCACTACTCCGGCGGCTGGCATGGTCTGGCCGCTTTCGGCAACGCGCCCGCCCAGGCGCAGGGCGAAGTGCTCGGCGCTCAGCGGGCGGCAGAGCTTTCCGAGTCGTCAGACGGCGATTCCGGAGCCGAAGCGTGAAAAAAGACGTCGGTTGCAGTTGTCATTCTGCAAATGGCCACCGCCGCTCCGCGCGCGCGGCTCGGGGCACGAGTCGCCTGCGTCGCGGGTGCCTCTGGGGGCGGGCGCGTCGAGCCCTGGCCAATGGGGCGTCGCGCAAGGGGCTTTGTCGCCCGCCGCGCCGTCAGCGTCTTTGCTTCTGGCCCAACGCAGGCGCGCTCTCTGCGCCAGAAGCGAAGGCAGCAGATATTCATACCCCCCGAATCGGAGATTTCGCATGGGAGGAACATCTGCCACTGAGACGGGGCCCGCCGATTGCTTTTTCCTTTTGGTTCATGGGGTTCACGTGCTTCTGTGTGCCCGGGGCTTCATGGCTTCGGAAGCTCTCGCGAGAGCGGCGGATTTCTCTTTCGGCGGGGGCAGGGTTTTTGCTGAACTCTACAGTCCGCCTGGCGCGGAGGCGGGAAGGCAGGCATCCGGCGCGAAGGGGCCTCAAGGGGCCCGTTTTCGCGCGATGGTTTCCGCCCGGCGCGGGGGCAAGGGAACAAACATCCATCCTACGTGGGGCCCTGCTTCGGCCTCGCGGTCTGGGCCAAGACAGGCGAGGCGCCCGCCCGCCCATCCCTGCGTGTTCTGGTGCATTTGGGTCGCCTTGGTGGCGTTTCGGTATCACTGGGGAGGGTGGGGTCTGTGCGGGGGCGTCGTGCAAGGGGCCCTCTCGCCCGCCGCACCGGCGGCGTCTTTGCTTCTGGCCCAACGCAAGGCGCCCATTCCATCAGAGGCGATAGCAGCAGATTTTCCTGGGCTTTCTGGCCCGTAACCCCGTCAGCAGTCGACACCATGCGTTCGCAGAGTTGTTCACCGTGCCTGTCCGACCTCAAGTGCGCAATCAACCGACGGTAAGAGTGCTGGTCCACCCCGTGTTGCATCTCTTTCCCGTGCCAATGTTAAGTACCCCGTGTTGCATCTCTTTCCCGTGCCAGTGTTAAGTAGCATCCCGCCCAAAGCCTAGGGTGAACAGTGGCAGCAAAGTAATCTAGCAAAGTTTCAGGCGGGTCGCCTACCAAGTCTCCAGAAAGCTCGGCCACAGAGCATCCCAGGAAAATCCGAGTGAACGTCTGAAAAAATCCGGCTCATTCGATCCCATCCAAATTCCAGAGCATACAACATCGCAGCCCCTGGAGGACCTCGAACTGGACCGTATCCGAGGCCATGCTCGGCGATCTCCGAAACGGATAGTAAGCATCGTAAGCCAATGGTGCCACCATAGCCGCAAACACTTCCGAGGATACACAATAGCAGGATATCCCCAGGGCACCCTAAAACCAAAAGAGTGGTTTGACAACGACCCCAAGCTCCCGAACGTCATACAGTTCCCATTTGCCTGCGACATCGAACCGTGGCGGAACCGAATACTCCGTGAATATGATGTGTGTAGAGTTGGGTAGCGAAAGTGTTTGCTCGTTAGATCTGAGAGAGCGTGATCCACCGTCGCTTTACTGTGGAAAATTTCCGCCCTTTTCCTCCGGAGCCCGGGGGTCCCCCCCCCCTCCGAAAATCCCCCCCTCCCTGCTGGAACCCCTCCCCCCCTCCCCCTCTCCCCCAGCGAAACCCCCTCTCCCATAACCCCCCCCCCCCTCCCCCTCCAAAGCCTGGGGGGGTCACTACCGGTTCAAACCCCCCCCCCCTCGAAAACCGGAGAGGGGGGGTCACTACGGGTTCGAACCCCTCCCCACACCCCCCCTCTCACCGCCAGCAAACGACTCCCGGTCCCTACCCCCGTCTTCACCACATCCCCCACTGTTGTTCCCAGCGCCACTGTCCTCACCACCGTTGTCCCCACACTGGTTCCACCGCCGCCCCTACTGTCCCCACCAGTGCCACCACCACTGTCGCACTGTCCCCACCACTGTTCCCACCACGGCTCCACTCTCCCAACTTTCTCCACCTCTGTCCCATTGTCCCACCGCCGTCCTCGCCACCGCCTTCACCACTGTCCCCACCACCACTGTACCCTCCAATGTCTTATTGTTTCCACCACGTTCCCACTGTCCCCACACCACTGTCCCCACCACCACCGTCCCCACCACTGTCCCACTGTTCCCACCATTGTCCTCACCATTGTCCCCACCACTACCGTCCCCAGCACTGTCTCACTGTCCCCACCACTGTCCCCACTGTTCCCACCATCGTCCTCACCATTGTCCCCACCACTACCGTCCCCAGCTCTGTCCCACTGTCCCCACCACTGTCCCGCTGTCCCTTCACCACTGTCCCCACCACCACCGCCCCCACCACTGTCCGCACCCCCCCTCGGTTTTCGGGGGGGGGGGGAGGGGGAGGGGGTTCGAACCGGTAGTGACCCCCCCCCCGGTTTTTCGAGTTCGAAGGGGAGGGGGGGGGGGGAGCGGGTTCGAACAGGTAGTGCCCCCCCCCCTTTTCATGATGAACTGGGGGGGGGAGGGGTTCGAACCGGTAGTGACCCCCCCCCGGTTTTCCGGAGGGGGGGGGGAGGGGTTCGAACCGGTAGTGACCCCCCCCCAGTTTTCCGCCAGCAGCGGTAGAACACGCTCTTTCTTAGAACTGAACCGTCGTCCGACAGCATAGCGACGTGAGGCTCGATCAAAACGCAAGACGGTCATGGGGCATGGCGGATGGAGAGCATTGATAACATCAAGCAACAACAAGCTCTAACCTCCATCAATCCATCCCCTTGGACCTTACGTCCTTGGAGGTCTGCGGGGACCTCCAGAGGTATCTTTCTGCAGGTTAGGATGGTCCTCCGAGACTTCCTGGGCCCTCCTACACAGAAGACCCCAAACCCCGAAACGTGTCCAATAGCTTCAATCCTCGATCATGGTGACAGCAGGCCGGCTCTGTAAGCTTCGCCGGCCACGTCGCCTCGTCAGATTGGCCTGGGTCTGAGCAGCCACGGCTACGGTCACGGCCGCACTCGCGCGCAGTGGCTAGAAGGAAGGGGGACAGGAAGGTATCTTGTGGACTGGTTTTTCCGGCCGCCCCGCGCCCTTACTCGCTGCTTCCATCTTCTATGCGTCCCAGGAAACCTGAAAGTTTTGTTCGCAGCTTGACTTTGTGATTGCCGCGTCTGTACGTGCTCCGCCTTGCGTTGTCCACCCGTTTGCTAAGCCACGTGGGATCAACGCGAAGCGTGACCCGGTTTCGCCTTGCAATGCAGTGACGCCACTCGACCTCCCGTGGAATTGTGTGAGCGCCGCGGTTGGGGTGGGGTGGGTGGTGGTGGGGCGGGGTTGGTCGTGGGCGAGAAACATATCTGTATCCGCGGCCTGGCGGGCCGGGCCCCTGGGCCGCGACCCCGCGAATATGGGGCGTCGTGTTCGCGTATGCCCCTCGAGGAACGTATCCATGCGACCGCTTATCCGCGGGTGCGCGCCCTGGAATCCAGACCGCAAGGGTGCGGGTACGGATATGTCTGCCGCTCGCTCGTGGAGTCCATGTGGCATTTGGGGAGGTGGACTCCCCATCTCCTACCCGGCTGCGTCCCAGTCAGCTGCTGCACTGGGTCGCTCCGACCCCGTCGACCTGCAGCGCCGCCCTCCGCCTCTCGGCCCGTCGGTCCGTCGCTCTGCGGCACCCTGCGGGGCGCCGCGGGTGCTCTCTGTGCCTGCGCCAGGGGCGGGGGCCGCGCGCACCGCCGCAGGCCGACCGGATGCTGGACATGGGCTTCGAGCCGCAGATCCGCGAGATCATCCAGGAGATCGCGGGCGGGTGCGGGGGCTGCCGCGTGTGCCCGGGGGGGGCGCACGGCCCCGCCCGCCTTCCCGTTGCCGTCTTGGCCTCCTCCTTCTCCTCCTCCTCCTCCTCCTCCTGGCCTCCGCCTCCTGCCCTCCTCGTGCCCTCCTCGAAGCTCCCTCCTCCCTACGCCTCCTCGCTCTGCCCTCCTCCTGCCCTCCGCCTCCGACCCCTCCTCCCTCTCATCCCTCCTCTGCCATGCTTCTTGATCCCAGCCTTCGTCGCGCACTCGACATCAAGGCTCGATATTGTTGCGTCTCCATGGTGATATCACCCCAGGGCGCAGCCCGAGGAGGAGGAGGGTCACGATTCGATGAGGATGAGAATGAGCAGGAGGAGTATGATGAGGAAGAGGAGGAGCAAGGAGACAGGTGGAGGACAGGGAGGAGGAGGAAGAGGAGGAGGAGGAGGAGGAGGAGGACGGGGAGCGGCGCCACAGGATGCAGAAAGGTGGAAGGGGAGGGCGGAGGGAGGAGGAGGGTGAGGAAGAGGACGAGTAGGAAGAGGATCAGTGCAAACCCAAGACTCATCAACGATATATCGGAGGGTGATAGAAGGGGTCCGCAACAGAGGTTCTTCAATGAATGCTGAATGGACCATCTATGTCTTATGCACAGCCCATTCAAATACTCCTGTATGGTTGGCATTCACTACCTTGGCGATGCGATAGCAGCAGCTTGCGCGCCTGATGGTGTCCCCCAAAGGGGCCCCCTTGGCCGCGTACTTCGGTCACTCTTGGCCAGGGTCACTCTTGCGAGTAGCCGAGATTTTCCAACATGTGAATTCACATGTTGCGCTTCCACAAAGTCCGAAGTCACATTTTGCGTGTATCCAGAGCATGAATTCACAGTTCTGGCCTGATCATCATAAGGAAACTCGAACAGGCAAGTGTGAATTCACATCGTGCGCGTTTTTCCCCCAACGTGTGAGTTCAAAGTTTGTGCTTGTCCAAAGCGTGAACTCGCATGTTGCGCTTTGCAACACAAGGGTTCAATTATGCTTGTTCTAGCGACAATAAATAGCTGGGCGATGCGTTACCGCCAACAGACAGCGCTCGAGCGCCTCATTCCCGCCTCAACATGATGACGCGCAGTGGACGCCAGCCATGCTGGACTACATGAGTATGCCATAGATGAGCATGTAGCACCCATTTGTACCCTCCAAGTTTCCTCTTCATAGGCCCCTACTTGCTGAAGGAAGTGCCCCGTTTGAAAACAGCCGCTTGAACATCCTGAACTGTGCCAGAATATCATTCCTAGGATTGCAACGCCGTGAATTACCGTTGTTGGTGCGTCTCTACGATCCTGAATCGCGCCAGAACGCCCCTCTTGTGATTTCAACACCACACATCAACGTAATTGTTGCGCCCTGACAGACCCACGTGTGCAAGAACACCATCTCATTGACGTTAGTTAGAGAATCCGTGAACTGTTGCAAACTCCTATAACGAACGTGCGCGGCGCTGAGGCGAGTGCCACATGTTGAAAAGGAGCCGCCCTCCAGAAATTGCGGCAATGGTGTAATCCGAGTGTGCACGGCGCTCGGGCGAGAGCCACATTTTGAAAACCACCCGCCCTCCTCCCGCGAAACTCCTTACGATTGTTTGAGACGGATGTGCGCGGCATTCAGGCGGGAGCCACAGTTTGGAAGCATCACCCGTGAAACATTCCTGCACATGTTTAAAGACGGATATGCGCGAGGCTAAGGCACCAGTCACTTTTTAGAAACAACCCGCCCTCCATCCGTGAAGTTGTTGTAAAGTCTGAGGTCCAGGATCATAATTGGTCCGGAATTCTCGAGTGAAACGCCCGTCCCGCCCTTTCGACCGGCTTCGGGGCGCGACATACATTGCCGCTCCGAAAATTCCTGGAATTTTTTGAATTGGGCCCGATGGCATTGCGTGCTCGCCTACGTTGCAGTTCTCTTGGCAACGGCCCCGATGGGGCTGGGGGGCAGGATGCGTTGAACCTCCCTCCCCCCCAGAAGCTAGCAAGATATCCCTCTTGCATGGTCTCGGCGGGATCATTGGCGAGTAGTTCCCCATGTAATTATATAATTTTAGTCCAGCCAGCCATAGATCCCACCCATGAAAAATATGGTCTGGATAAATCTCGCGGTGGGGCCCAATCCCGCGAATGTATGACATGTTCGGGTCTTCTTGAGGTCCTCTTGAAATCATTTCCAGGTCCTCTTAAGACCATGGTGTTGTACTCTGGGAATGCTCTGGCCACCTCGGGGTCGCTCTGGGGCCACCGCGCCTGGTATCCGGGCCATCGCTCACATCTTGGGCCATCTTGGATTCGCCCCCAGGCCATTTCGACGCTGCGTCTGGATCCTGCAGGGGCCACGGGGTCTTCTTGGGGTCGCCCCAAGGTCATTTTCGTGCCCGTCTGAGGCCGTCGTGGAACCATCTTTGGGCCATGGGGCCGCCCGGCATCCTGTCTGGGTCGTCTGGAGGTCGTCCATGTTTCAAAGGAAACTTTCGTTGCGCCTAAGTAGAGGAGCTATGTATGTGGAAAGGGAACCAAGTAGGTGTGGAGTAGGAGGCAGACGAGAAAGTGGAAGAGCAGGAGGAGACAGATGACCGTGAGGGAGGAGGCTGAGCTGAGGGAGGAAGGGAATGGGAGGAAGATGATCAGGAGGGGGGGCGACGAGAAGGAGGAGGGAGGGAGGTGTCGCTGCGCGAACGCCCCAGCCTGTGGCACGCGGCGCCGCTGGCGACAACCCCCACGGCCGCCCGACAATGTTTCCCTTGCGTGGTGTCCAGACTTGCCCAGACTTGCACGTTTCCTCGGAGCAGGGGGAGGAGGTGGTCGTGTTGATGACGGTGAGGACATAGAGAATCATGGTGATGTGTGTTGTGATGTTGGTGGTTGTGTTGAAGGTGATGATGGTGATGATGGTGGTGGATGGTGGTGATGTGATGATAATGATGATGGTGATGATGATGATGATGCTGGTGATGATGATGATGATGATGCTGATGATGATGATCATCATCATCATGATGATCATGATGCTGCTGTATGGTGATGATTATGTGTGATGATTATGGTGGTGATGGTGGTGCTGGTGATTGTGATGGTGATGATGATGGTGGTGATGATGATGGTGATGGTGGTGATGATGATGGTGATGATGCTGTTGATGTGGAGGAGGACGAGGATAATGATGATATGGATGCTGATAAAGATGAGGATTGTGATGATGATGATGATGATGACGATGCTGCTTGTGATGATGATTATGATGACGACGATGATGATGATGATGATGATGATGATGAAGATGATGGAAATGATGATGATTTGGAGGAGGAGGAGGAAGAGGGAGATGATGAGGATGATAAGGATGATGAGGATGTTGATGATGGTGATGATGATGATGTTGATGCTGATGCTGATGCTGATGATGATGATGATGATGATGATGATGATGATGATGGTGGTGGTGGTGGTGGTGGTGGTGATGATAATGATTATGACGATGGTGGTGATGATGGTGGGCAGGTGATAGCGGTTGTGGTTGGGAGGGGGCTTCGCAGCTGGGCGTTTGGACTCAGTCGAAGAAGAAACAGTTGCGTACGCAAACACTTTTATGCTTGTGTATTTGTTCTGTTCGTCTGCTGAGGAGACCCAGAGGTCGAATTCCCTGCTCTCAGCACATCTTTTCCCCCAGGCCAATCCGATGGTAGTGGCGAGGCCGCTGGCTGGGGGGCGTGGCGGGAATCAGCGGCAGCTCAGCCGCCGCCGCTAGAGAAAAACAAGGTTGTGGTGGTGAGGATGGTGGTGGTGATGGTGATGATGGAGATTCCGTTGAGACGGTGGTGACGGTTAGGAAGATATGGGCTTGGTGTTGGGTGTGGGCAGCATCCGCGGGCGGGCGGGACGGGCGGGCCTCCTCGGCCCATGACGTGCCCCTCGTCGCAGTCGATGTCTGGGAGGAGGAGGCATGGGGAGGGGGGAGGCGGGCGAGAGAAATGGCTCCGGCGGTGGGATGGCGAGGATCACGGCATGAAGCAGGCCGGTGCTGGCCGCCAGACCATCATGTTCTCCGCGACGTTCGCGAGGGACGCGCCCTCCTGGCCTCCTGGCCCCACGAGGAGGAGGAGGACGACGACGACGAGGAAGATGTTTTTTCAGCTTTCGGCCTCGGCGTGCCTTCGGCGGACCCTGGGGCCGTCAGAAACGGCTCAGAATGAAAATCTGATCCCTGGGAAGGGGCCGAGCCTTCCGGGGACCCTTATGGAAAGTGATACAAGGAAAGCAAAGTTTCCGAGGACCCGAGCAGGTGGGTTAGTTGGTGGGCGTGCTTCTCCACCCTTCCTCCTCCCTCCCCCAGCTCCCTAGTCACCTCCGCCTCATACTTCCTCTCCTTCACTCCTCCTCCTCCTCCTCCTCCTCCTCCTCCTCCTCCTCCTTCGCCCCCTCCTCACGGGGAGGAGGATGCCGAGTAGGGGGGGTGAGGAATGAGGACTCAGGAGGAGGACGGAGTGGAGGGAGAGAGGCACGGAGGAGGAAGGAAGGCACATAAAGGAATTCGGAGGAGGAGGAGCAGCAGGCAGGCTGGACTGGTGAGTGCGCGATTTTTCGAATTCTCTGCCCGCAGGAATTGGCAGGGAGGAGAGGAGGAGGGAGGGAAAGGGGAGGGGGACCTGCAGGAGGGAGGGTGGGGGGCCTCGCACACCGACAAGGCATGGAGCTCGGTCTCGTGCGGCCAGGTCAGATCCCAAGCGTCGCGGTCCTCTCACCGCGTCGGGCGTTTCGGGCCCCCGCACGTGTCCGCCCTCGGGCTATCATTCCCCAATGAGGTTTTGTCTGCGGGTTCCTTTTGTGGTTTTTGAAGTAACTGGTGGGTGCCAGAGGCGTTCCTCGGGGGTCTTTGATCTTGTTGCCTCGCTTCCTTGGTCTTGGTTCATTGCTGCCTTCCTCGGGATCACTGGTCTCCTTGGTTCCTTGCTCTTGGTTCCTTGGTGCCTTATCTTGGATCCTTGGTTCCTTGGTCTTAGTTTGTTGGTAGTGGTGTCTTTGTTTAGGTCCCCTGCTGCCTCGCTAGGCAAAGCAATGCAGCAAGGCAACGCAATGCAAACCAATGCCACGCAATGCCACGCAATTCCAAGCAATGTCAAGCCTCGCCAAGCAATGTGCTAAGCAATGCCACGCAATGCGCCCATGTAAAATGAAGTGTTCTCCGCATTGGCGTTGCACCAGGTTCATTTTGTTCATCCATGGCTTGCTTCCGGCTTCCTCCTCGTCCTCCTATTTCGAGGAAGCGCAAACGTGAGGGGCGTTTGGGGGGGCCTCAGCGTCGAGAAGCCGAAAAGGCGAGAATGCCAAAATCTGTCTAAAACCTAGGACAAATCAATGATTTGGGCTTCTCGGGGCGCTCTTGGGCGGTTTCTTGGAGGCATCTTGGGGCGTCTTGGCGGCCTCTTGAGCCGTCTTGGGGCCCTCTTGGACATCTTGGAACGATCATTGTGCGTCTCAGGGCCATCGTGGACCGACTTGGGGGCCTGTTGGTGCCGTCTTGCCCCGTCCGGAGGCCTTCTTGGGCATGAAAATGTCGTGCGACAAGATGCCAGGAACCCCAGGGGTACGCGGGAAGCCCCAAGAGATTTCGGAATCTCGGGTCTGGGCCCCTCAAAGGCTTCCCAGGATTGAGGACTGTTGCTCCAGGGATTAGGTAAAGGACTTGAGGACACGCCCACTCCGTGTCCAGAGGCATGGTGGCGATAGATGTGTACATGCCCGCGTCGCAGTGTCCAGCCCGGGGCGTTGCGTGCAGTGGCCCGCTCTGCCAGCCTCTGTCGTTCGCCAGCCCGCTTCGCGCCCCACGCCCCATGATATGTTTGTTTTCGGGCAGGCCTAGCTCATGTACCTAGATAGTCCTTGTCGCCCCCACGTAATCACGAAGGCCAGGCGCGAATACCTCGACAGGATTGATCGGGACCTGTTCCCCAAGTGCTGAGCTCAGCTCAGCCTGTTTATCACTAGATTGCCGAAATCCGTGAAATCCCCCCCTTTGATCTGGCTCGGTGTTCCGCACAGACAGGCCCCAGGTAGTCCCACGAAGTCTCGGCAGGCCAGGCGGAACTACCTGGGGGGGGGCCTGTCTGCGTACAGCCAAAGCCGTATACCGCATACCACATTCACTCCCCTTGTCGTCGTTGCCACTCCCTTTGTCGTCGCTGCTCCCGCGCCGCTGCCCCTCTCCGCCGCATGGCTCCGCGCCGCCTGGAAGAGAAGCGCGGGAACCCTGAGAGGAGATGCAGAACATGGCCCTTGACTTTCTCGACTCGTCCTACCTGCAGATCAATGTCGGCAAGGTCCGAGGGGCATGGCTCGAGTCGTCGGTTCTCAAGGGTGGAGATGAGCGGGAAGTTGCTGGGGTGCGCGATCGCAGTCCCGAGCCCAGCGGACTTGTACAGCGCACTGACCACGGCTGTCTCCCGAGCGACAACCCTACCCATATCCACGCCCTCGCGGTCTGGATACCCAAGCGCGACCCCGTGGAGACGCGTCCCCCTGGATACGTTCCGCGCGGGGTATCCGCGTACTCTAGCCGTGTACCCGCGGGGACCCAGTCGATGGCTCCAGAGCGCAAGGCCGTGCGTATGAGCATCTCTCCCGGCCACGAGTGTCGCCCTCACCTGCGGGCGGGGTGAGGCAGGGGTGTGCTTCCAAGGGCTCAGCTCCGCTTCTGGTCCGTCCCCCTCCCTCCCTTCTCCCTCCTGCTCCTCCGACTTCGAGTCCAACTCCTCATTCCTCCACTCGGGGTGAAGAGATGGGGGTACCTTCTAGCTTCGGCTGAACGCACCACAGGCTCGGCACTTGGCTGCTTTCCTCCGCTCCCTTTTCTCCTCTGCACGCTGTGCTTGGCAAAAGTTCGCCAGCTGAACGACCGCGTTGGTGTCCGCCCTTGCCGCTGACCCCCCCCCAAACAAAAATCTTGGGCCGAAACGTTCAAAGCGACGTCATTTCTCCGTTCTGCTGCCAGGAGAGGCCGTCGAGGGGGGTGGCCCGCGCCCTGCACTGCCTTCACGCACCCGACTCACAGTGCTCGGGGCACGGCACCGAGGACAGCCGAAGACAGGCCAAAAGCCGATGGGCAATTGCGGTCGTGGCTTGAGCACTTGACGTGCATACAGCTGGCACGAGGCTGAACAAAAACCCTTGAGGACATCACAACCCACCTCCTCCCCCACCCAGGACCCCCACTCCCGACCGGGTGATCCAGGGGGTCCTGGCTGGGGGTGAGGGTGGTCTCTTTGCCCCCTCAGAACAGCAGAACACCCCCCCACCCCCAGCCAGGACCCCCGGGATCACTGGGTCGGGCACGCGGGGGTCCTGGATGAGGTGGGAGTGGGCCGTTCTGTCAACCGTGCGGCAGGCTCGCACCGTCGGCAGCGACTCCGCCCGGGCCGCCACGGTACTCAGAACGCCGCCGGTGGCTTGGCGGTCGGCCAGCACGGAACGACTTCGCGGTCGGAAAGCCGTTGGTCGTCCCAGGCTGAACGATCCGTGCGTCACGACGTGCACTTGCCGTAGTTTTGGGGGTGTTTTCCTCGCGGTATTCGTGCTTGGGGCTTCAACCCTGGAGTGCTCTTCGTCTGGGGTGTCTCTGTCATGGAGCCCTGTGTCACTGTCAAGGGGCCGGTGGTCTCGGCGTGCAGCTTCTGTGGGTGCACACAAGATCAGGGGCAACGTCAGGGGGGGAACAGGCCCAGGCGGGAACACATCGACCCTCAATCGCCCGCTCCTCGCCGATGGGGGCCCGATATCCCGCCCCGCCTAGGACCGTGCGGAGGCGCTATCAGGGACCTCTCGCCGATCTATCGGTGATGCGTTGCCGAGTCTAGGTCGACGTATGCCTCCATGAGTTGGCCCCCCCTCGAGGAGGAGGAGTGGATCACGAGGATTCGAACTGTACACCAACGCCGATCCTGGCCAGGCCCATCCTTGCCCAGGGATTACGCCCTGCCCCCAGACGCATCGCCGATTCGGGTCCGATAGCCCGCCTCTCCAAGTATCGTCCAGGTTCGCGGTCGGGTGCCTATCGCCGAACCATCGGCGATGTCTTGCGGGGCTTTCATCTTCTTGTTGGCGCCCAGCTTGCCAGATAGCAGTAGAGGTCGGGGCCACCACCTCGAATGTCGAGCAGCGCTTCGAGGACGTGGGCTACGGGGACAAATTCGACGTCTTAGTGAACGCCCTCAACTCCGTCACCAATGCGGACGGGGGGGCGCGCCCATACGACGATACATGCGTCACGTGCTCTTGAAACTTGCCCACTTATCTGCGGTCTCTGCAGACTTTCGCGGCATCCGCCAACCCCATCCGAGGTAATGCCAGCGTACATGGAACGTCCAGGGACGTCGTGCAGCTCCAAGGATGGGGATGAAGTGGGCCCCAGTGTCCCTACACAAGCCTTGCAGCTTTGGTGTAGGGGATGCCTTTGAGCATGTCACTTTGCAAGCATCATGCTGTAACTTCGCGCGCACGCTGGCATTCAAGAGCGCCAGAGAGGAGGAACACCAGGATGAAGAGGATGTTGGGAAGACCTGCCTCGCTCGCCCACTGGCCGCAGAAAGGCCTTCGGCGGGTTAAATGCCACGGTCGGGTTGGGAGGGGGGGCGGAGCAAAGTTGTTTGGTGGCGTGTGCCAGCACATCCTCGGGGGGCCGCCCGCTTGTGTGGTCGTCGTCGTCGTCGGGCCCCCCTCCTTGTCGTCGTCATCGTCCTCCCCCCCCCTCTCCTGATGCCGTCGCGTTTCCGGCCGCGCGGCGGCTGTAGTGTTTCCTGGTATATTGTCGAGTGTCTGCGTTGTGGTTTTCTCTTCCCAGACTGACGGTTCTCGGTGCTCGTTGTGTCTGTAGGATCACACTGACCCTCGTGATGCGTATAGGCGTTTAGGGGAAAACAAGACCAAGGCACGGAGGAACCAAGGAACCAAGATTAAGGAACCAGCACCGAGGAATCCAGCAACCAAGTAACCAATATCAGGGAATCTAGCAACCAGGACCAAGGAATCCTGTTCATGCAGTAGGGCAAGAAGACAACGGATGCAAGGGGCAAGGAACCGAGGGGCTAAGACCGTGGAGTCCAAGAGCAAGAACCTAGGAACAAACACGCCAAGAACGAGGAACCAAGGAGCTACCACGAAGCGAGCGAGACCAAAGGAGCCAAGACCAACGAACCAAGGCAACCAAGACCAACGAACCAAGAAATCAAGACCGAGGGAACAAGACCAAGGAACCGAGGAACCCAGAGCAATGAAACAGGGCATCAGGCCCCAGAAAACATGACCAAGGAACCAAAGGAAACCTGGGCAACGTCTGGTACGGAAGCAAGACTAAGCAACCCCGGATACTTTCTTTGTAAGGAAACACGACCAAGCAGGCCGGAGAACCCGGCGATTATCGCGTTTGGCACCCACCAGTTCTTCAGAAACAAATAATCCCCTTTGAGGGCACATTTGCTTGTGGCAAGGATCGGCACCAGAAGATTCCATCATATGGTGGATCTACCGTGGGAAGCAGTGTTCTCAGCCCGCAGCGGTATGTGCGACACTGCATCGTGCTGTTATCCGCGCCCCCATTGTACGCTTGGGTGACGTCCGAACAGCTGCCTCAGGAGACACTCCCAGAATATGGCAGACTCAGAAGCTTGTAGAAATTGTCTACTCACGAGAAGTGGGAGCTGTCCAAGAGCGCTCCAAAAGTAGATGCTCCAAGGGTAGATGTCTTCGCCTCCCTCTCAGTACCTTCCTCTTGGTCTTCGACCTTGTTCAAATGCCGCCTCAGGACGGCAAGATGGGAAGGGCAATCGTCTTCGCCAACCAGAAGGCCTCCCTGCAGCAGCGGAGCAGCGGTGGACAAAGAAGGGGATGTGGAGAAGAAGTACGGTAGGTTCGCGTCATGTCGACCAGCGGCGTTCCCGCCACTGGCGTTCAACGTTGAACGCCGCCGGCGACCCAGAATCGGTCGATGTTGAACCATCCGACGTTTCGGAAACCGCCGATCGTTCAAGGTTGAACGATCCCCTCGGTGTCAGGAACCCACGCCCAGGTCGTCACGTCACGAACCTGCCGTAACCGAGGTAGGTCTTCAGTTGTGAGGACCCCTCCTGTTTCTCTCGGCGGTGAGGAAGCTCCGCCCCTCCTCCTCCTCCTCCTCCTCTTCCTCCTCCTCCCCCCGTCCTCCATCGTTGTTGCGCGGCCGGCGGGTGACGCGGAGAAATAGTCATGTTGCATAATTGGTGGAACCCCAGCCGTCAAGAAAGGCGTCGAGGGGATAATTTGTTTCCACGATTGGAGGGGGTTAAAGACCGACCTTGTATTGTTAGGACTTGTAGAGTGGAGGACACCCCCCGCCCGTCCTCTCTCAGGGAGGGTTAGCAGCGCTCCCAGCGGCGAGACATGTACTTTTCGTCCCTTCTCTCCCCGCGGCTGCGGCCGCCTGCTATGGTTCGCGTGATGTCAAGATACGCGGCTGCCGCAATCTTGGGCCGTTCAAACATTTACTAGTCTTGGCCCCGAAGGTTTTTTCACCAGGGAGTTCTCACATCATGCTCAGAAGTTTCGAGGCAAAGTGATGTAATGCCGATGCAGGGGTCGGTGTGCGAACCTTATCCCCTGATATTCCGACCTTGTGATTCCCGACATTTGCGCGTGCCGTTTTTGTTACCGCTGTGCTGTTTTGGTGAGGTTTGCTGGTTTGTACTCATCCTGGTGAGGCTGCGCCCGACTCAATTAAACGTAATTGTTCGGCAAACGCAACCAACATTGGTAACCTGTTACAAGAAGGCGTGCTACATCCGTTGTGATGTTGTATGTTCTTGTGGCCTTCAGCCAATCCCGCCACCGTGCCTGGGTCGTGGACTAGAGCACTCTTGGAGGCCTGTCGGGGTCTCTTGGAACACTTGGTGCAAGCTTGTTGAGGGCATCCTAAGGACCTCTTGGGGTATCTTGGGGCCTCGTTTCTTGAAGTCTCCTGGTGGCATCTTGGGGCGGAAGGCTCGGATGTTGTGAGGTTCGTGCTCCCTCCTTTTGGGCCGTCTTAGGGCCCTCTTGGGTTGTGTTGGGCGCCTCTTGGGCTGCCTTGGGACCCTCTTGGCATGTTTTCGGCGCCTCTTGGAGGCCTCTTGGGCCGCCTTGGGGTGTTCTCGGGGGCATCTAGGGCCGTCTGGAAGCGCCGGGAAGCCGAAAAGGCGAGAACACCAACATCTTTCAAACACCTAAGGCAACTCAAGAATGTTGGCTTCGTGGGGCCTCTTGGGAGGCCTCTTGGAGGCCTCTGTGGCTGTTTGGGTGCCATCTTGAGCGTCTTGGAGCGATCGTTCGGCGACTCGGGGCCCTCTTGGACCGTCTTGGGGGCTTTTTAGAGCCTTCTGAGCCTGCCTTGGGGCCCTCTTCGGCCCGAAGCAGTCAAGCGGCAAGACGCGGGGGAACCGCGGGGGGACCGCGGGCCGCCCCAGAGGATTTGGCCCGAGAGGCTCCGAACCCCTACAGAAGTCTTCAGGAGTGAGGACTGAGGCTTAGATGGGGTGGTGAGTGGACCTGAGGACGCGCGCCCACTCCGTGCCCAGCGGCACGGTGGCGGACGTTACGTTGCGTCCGTGATTTGCGTCTCGGGTTACGGATCAAGTTTCGTGGTTTGGTTTTGTTGTTCGCGCAGCGCGCCAGAGTTTGACGCGCAGTTGTCATCACAGGTTGGCGTTGGATGGAAACATGTTCGTGCGATGTTTGCGTATTTGTGTCTGTGTTTGTGTCCGTGTCCGTACGGTTCGAGGCTTGCGGATTTTTTCACGCTCCTACAAAATCTTGTCATTTCGATTGAGCGTATCCGTTCAGTCTTCTTGGCCCCGATGGCTTCAGCGCGTTGGATCAACAGATACGCGTATGTGTATGTTCGTGCGCATTCCTCACCCATTGTGCTTGACCGTATCGTTCGTGTGCATCTCCGTATACATCCTGTCTTGCTTTCTCAATTCTCTCTCTCTCTCTCTTTCTCTGCCTCTGTTACCCGCCCCCTTCCTTCCCCCTGCCGTATTACCCCCCCCCCCTCGACGTTGCTTGCCCGGCGGCCGGAGGCGATTGCGGACGACATCGCTTGGCGGCTGGGAACGGAGAACATGCGGGCGGTGGCCATGCATGGCAACCTCTCCCAGGCCAGCCGCGGTGGAGGGTCGTTGGCGATTTTCTGCCCCAATACTCGACTTCCTCCCGAGAAGAGGAACTTTGGGATAAACCCTCTGGGGGGCTGTTCCGACGCACCCCTATCGAGGATGGACGCCCTCCCAATGTACATCCCAGGGTTGGGCCCAAAATTTTTGGTCCAGTCAGAAAAGCTCCCCAAAGTCGGGCACTGGGGTCGCCCTATCCCCCCTTAAAGGCACCAGGGGAGAACATTCCGTGGAGAGCACTCCGCGATATCGGCGGACGAGGAGCGGCACAACACACACGGAGCGTTCCGCCGCCTGGGACGCCAGTCCCCCTCCCTGGCGGCTGTGCCACAGCGTGGGTGACGAATTGCCCAGCCGCCCTGGGGCAGGCGTCCCTGGCGGCGGAACATGAGCGACGAAAGAGAGAGGGGTCGTCTGCGCCGATATTGTCGCGCTGGCGGCGGCCCGCGTACGCCACCGCGTAAGGTCGCTGTGCCATCTCGCATAAGACAAGCTATCGTCGCTCACATGGAAAGTTTAGTCCCCGGCGTGCCACAGTGGGGGTATATATTGTCCAGCCACGCTGGGGTAGGCGTCCCTGACGGTGGAACAGTTTAGGTCATGCCGCACTTCGTCCGCTAAGTATTCGCAGGCCTTCGTCGAACATGAGACCTCTGCATCAGCATCGCCTCTTCCAGTTAGTCCTCATGGACACCGTTGGTGTTCACTGCGTTTGTCTGGGAACCTCTCAGGGCAACTCGACCTCGTTACACCTAGACGAGCGCGTTCCTCTACTCACAAAGTAGCTACTCGCAAATCGCCTGGATCCGCCGCGGGGGATCTACGATAAATTACATCGAAGCGAACATGTGTTTTTCGGGCGTTTGCGAGCAGGCACTTTGCGAGTAGCGGAACGCTCCCAGTGAATATTTTGACAACAGCATTGCAGCCAATGCAAGAAGAAATGCTTACGGCCCAGAGGCCGCACGGGACGGCCTGCAGATCGGCCGCATGCGAACGTTTTTTTTGTCTGCCTCCTCCCGGGGCAGGAGGCGACCGAGCGTCGGGGAAGGTGGCTTGGGGGGAGCCCAACTCCGTCCGTCTGTCTGTCGGCCCTGTCTGTCCTGCCCCGTCGTCTTCCTTTCCTTTTCTCCTCCCCTTCTCGCTCCTCGGTTCCTCGCCCCCTTGCCCGTTTCTGCCCCTTACCTGGCCCGCGTTTCTTTGTCGGCCCGTCCCGGAGTCCGAATAAGAGCCGTGGCGCCCCGCATTGTAACGCTGGCGAATAGCCCGGCACGGACAGCAGCTTATTGCAAACATCTTCGAGGTCAGTACAGGTGTTGAGGACGAGCAGTGCTGGTGCACCGATCGGCACTTATGATCACTGTGATCCAGGAGCCAACAGCAAGCGCGAGCGCCGCGGACAGCCGAACGCAGTGAGCACGCGCATCGGCGTGCAGGGCTGCGGCACCGCCTCGAGTGGAATGAGACGAAATTTCGGGCTTCCGTGGACGCTTCTCTGAGCCTCTGGGGATCTGGGTCCTGCGTGGTGTTTCGAGACGTGCTTTAACATAGCACGCAGGACCCGGAACCCAAAATGGTTGGCGTCGAGGTGCCCTTCGACACCTCTGCAGGCGATTATGGTACAGACTCCGAGGAGACGATGATGCGCTAGTACGGCTCGGGGGACAACTGATTTGGCCTCTGCGACTTCGACGGCAGTGTGTTGGCGTTGCTGCCGAAGAAACCCATTTGGCAAGACCCTACCACAGGGGCTTTCTATTGCCCAGCAGACACGCGGCCGATCATGCTCGTGGACACCCCGAACGGGCTGCTTGCCAGCGCTCTGCGCTTCGCCATTGCGCCGGCGATCGAGCGTCTAGTGAGCGCGGGCCAGCGGGGCTTCCTCCGTGGCTGGTCCACTTTGGCCAACACAATCGACCTCGAGGCAGCAATGCAGGCAGCAACCGTTGAAAACGACCAGATCACTCCATCCTCTTCGACATGCGGGCGGCGTTCCCCAGTTTGGAGCATGACTACGTGCATCGCGTTCTGGAGAAGCTGGGCCTGCCGCCAGGCCTCCGCGCGGCCATCCGCGCGCTCTACGCCAGGCAATGTTTTTGTCTGGCGATGGCGGGCAAATGGCGGGAGGGTTTCGCGATCACAGCGGGCATACGCCAGGGCTGTCCTCTCAGCCCGTTCCTTTTCGTGCTCGTCACGGAGCCGCTCAACCGGCAGTTCGACACCGTTCGAGGCCTTCGTGAGTGCTGCGCCTTCGCTGACGATTTGGCTCTGGCGGAGGCCGACGCCCCCCTGGCGTGGCCGTAACTGCGCCGCCTCTTCGAGCACTTCGCCACGGCGTCCGGCTTGCAGTTGAACGTCGCGTACACATGATGTTGCTTCTGTGGGCGTGGCAGCTCGGCGTCGCGACGGACACCTGGCAGCAGCCGATGCCAGCTTGGGGCGCGGTGCGCATCGCTCACTCCTGAACCCACCTGGGCTTCGAGGAAGGCTCGGCGGCGTCAGACATCGGGTGGGCCCCTGTGCGGAAGTACAAGGAGGCTGTCTGCAGCTGGGCAGGCTTCATTTACGGCATGTACCTGACAACCCTCGCATACAATGTGTACGCTATCTCGAAGTTGCAATATGTCGGGCAGTTACATGGGGAGCCACCGCATTGGTCATCGCTGGAGCGTTGGGCGATTCTGAAACTTTTTCCCGAACCTTACAGATGGCTCCCCTCGGGGGTTGCCCACCTACTGCGGGATGGGTTCGGGTTTTCGTGCCAGCTGCAATCGCTTACTACCACTGGCCCCGCGGCCCAGCTCCAGGTGGCCCCTTCGGGAGGGGACTACCGTCAGAGCGTCCGCTTGGCCGAGGTGTGCACCCGTCTGGAGCGCGCCCGCTCCTGCGCCGCAGCGGCTTCGTGGGGCGCCGAGCGGAGATGTCAGTCGTGGTTCACCGGGGGCCCAGTCCAGGAGTTCCAACTTGCGATGGCAGAGATGCCCGCCAGGGTGTCACGGAGGACCGTGTGCTGCAGCATGGATTGGGCCGCGACCCCCGCCCAGTCACCCTAGCGACCTGGCGGGAAACGCGGCGGCGAATCCAGTCCTATGCGGCGAAGTTCTTGCGCCAGAGGCATTGGCTCCGCGTGGGATTCGCGAGGCTGGGCGCGAAAGTCCGAAAGTGGCGCGACCCCGGCCAGCTGTGCCAGGTCGGAGGGCCCAGCAGTGCCGCTCGGTCATGCGGCGGCTCCCGAAGCAGACAGCGCCGCGAGTCCGGGCGGGTGCACTGGGCGCAGCTTTGGGGCCCGCGGCGGCCGCTGCCTCTTCGGTTGTCTAGGGGCGAGGGTGACGTCAGGCACTATGTTTGCTGCCCGCGGCTTTGGCGTTTCGGTGCGGCCTCGCTGGGGCTGGCAGACCCTGGCGACCGGGAAGCCCGCACCGACCAAGCCCTCCTGTGGCGCACAGGAGCCTCTCCCCAGGAGGCGGCCCGCGCGGCAGCGATGATCGTCGTCGGCTACAAGTAGGGCCCACGCGACTCTCCGCCACGCAGCGGACGCCGACCTCGACGTGCAGAGGGTGTTCACCGAGGTCTTCCGGCAACTGCAGGATCCAGGGCCCAGGGCGGGCGCAGCGGGCAACGGCGAGTAATTGAGGGCGCGCTAGGCTCTGCGAGTGTCCCTTCTCTCCTCTTCCTTCCTCCTCCTCCCTCCTCGCCTCGTCTCTCGTCCTCCGATTCGCGTGGCCGTCTTCCTACTCCGTACCGCAGGTCGGATCTGGTCTCTGCGTGGCTGTGGAGGCCCCCAGCGCTCGACTTGAGCGTGCAGTCGCCCAACTCCTCATCCTTCCTCCTTCCTCCGCTTCTTCCTCGTCTTTTTCCCCACCCCCGTATTTATCAAACAATTGATTCCATTGGTCTGGGTCATCTTTGCTGGCAGCACGCCCAGAAGAGGTTGCAATTGAGAGCCATTTAATTTTTCACCGGCAGCTTCTCAATGCCAAATTGCGTAACATGTTCTTCACGTGTTCGTGGTTGTTTTGCTTGATACCGGCCAATGCGTTTATTTCCACCCAGAGCCTCTCAATCGCCGAATTTCGTGACATTTTCGTTGCGTTGTCAAGGATGTATTGTTCGGTAAAGGCCCATGCTAGTTTCCACTCCGCTGGTGTATATGTCGTGTGGCTTTAGTTTTGGAGTGTTGGGAAGCTCGGGAGGGGCTCCCGCACTGACGAAACCAACAGCGAAACGTAGGACATGTCTACAGTTTGTGAATGCTGTCCTGGCCATGTCTGTCGGCAGCACGCTGCACTTGAGAGGCGTTTTATTCTTCACGGGGAGCCGCTTAAGCGCCGAATTTCGTACGTTGCGTGTTCTAGGTTTTTTTGTTTGATGCCGGTCCATGCGTTTATTTTCCGCTCTACTGGTTATGTGTCGCGTGGTTTTGATTTTGGAGTGTTGGGAAGCTCGGGGGGGCTCCCGCACAGACGGAAATCACAGCGGAACATAAGGCAATTGTGCAGCGTGCGAGTGTTGTCTTAGCCGCGTGGCCGGTAGTGACGGCTTGTGCCCGCACGGGGCCGCATTTGCTACGACGGTCCCATAGCAAGGGCTGCTAAATCCGCGGCTGCCGAAATCGACATCCGGGAAGTTGTCTTCGTCCTTCCGGGAAGAAGCCCGTTGACTGTTTCGCGTGCCGCGCCTTATTCCGGGAAGTTGTTTTTTCCTTCCGGGAGGGCCGTTTTAGCAGCCACGGTTTTGGCAGCCCTCGCCCAGCTTTCGAATATTATCATATTTGTTCTTCATCCTGCGCTCGCTTCCTGGAGGCAGAGCTCTGGCTATCCCTTCCAGGTTGGGCCGGGTCTTCGCCCCCTCTCCCTGTCTCTTCCTCGCTCCACCCGCGCACGTCGTCCCACCCGGCCATCGGCGAGGGCCGCTTAGAGTGCTAGAGGTGGCACGCAGTTCTTCGCGAGCGATCCTCCTCCCCTCCGTCCCCCCCCCCGCCCTCC